TTCTGGCATGGGAAGCAGTGCTGCCGATCCTCCCGCGATAGACGCCTCAATGGGCGTCGGCCGTCCAACGGACGACAGCAGGCGCCCGTCACACGCGGCATAGTCCGTAGCGGCCATGAAGCCCGGTGCACCTTTGGCGAACCGGTCGATTAGGACCTGCAGCTGTACCAACTGCTTGATGAGGGGCTCGCGAGTCACGGCCGTAGGAGGGTATTCAGTTAGGTGGAGGATCTCGCGCCACGCCAGGGGCATAACGCCAGACCGGGCCCACGTGAGATGCACCGCCCAAGGCGGAGTATGACGCCACGACCTTCCCACCCAGACCAGCAGGTTGTCGTACAGAATCAATAGGCATTAACCGCTTCGCGCGCCATCCTTCGTCCGTGGTTACGAAGGACAAGTAAATGCTGCGGAAAATTGTCTTGAACATCTCGACTAGTCCGTTGAACCAGGGAAAGTTGACTGGGTCCACGACACCACTAATGTTAACTATCAATGTGTTGGAAAGCTCCTGCACGCGGAACCCAAAGATTACGACCTCCTTACACGACGCGTCCAGAGAGCGATGCATGCTGCCGGAGACGAGAACAAGTGCCGTCTTGTTGTGTGCAAGACGGTCTCCATTGAAGTTGTCAATGTACTCGCTGAAGAACTGCGACATGAAAAGCGTACGGGAATAGTGAGAACTGGCGCTACCGACGCAAGGACATGCACTTAGCACATCATCCGAAAAACGATTAGACATACCTCGGCGGACAACTCTCCGTTCTTTGTCTGACGAAGATGCACGTGGTCGCCCTCATGGAGGCCGTGACGGTACGGGCGAGCGCAATTGCGTCGCCTGACTACGGTCGGAGGTAGAACCATACTCCCCGATGCGTTGAAGAGGATACACACGCGCAGCTCGACCTTTGGCTTGTACCCCGATTCCGGCTCGAAATTACTGCTGTAAGGCAGCGTTGTCGCGAGCAAGGGGGTCTCCACAAAGCAGAACACATCGTCGGGAAAGGGTGGACGCAGGGTTATAGGACGCACCGGTACGTGAGTGAGGAGAGGGAGGCGTGCAAGCTGGTGGACACCGGAGTCTCCACCAGCTTGACACTATCCGCCTCCAGCCCAATGGATCGCAGGGTGACACGTACTGTCACAGTTGGTGGACACCGATTTGTCCTGGAAGGGAATTGAGTACACTGTGTGGATGAGGCTTGGTAGTGTCCACATGGCGAATTCGCTTCTGTACAGATAGAAGGCACTGCTGTGGGATTGGCTTAGCCACCCAGGTGGCATGTTTTTGGTATACTCTATGCGATATTTTGACGTTACACTATAAAAAGTTCCGGGGATGCTATTGGCGAGGATGCATCATACAACCATGACGGGGGCATACGGTCCACGTACAATGTGGTACATTGAGGTCCAGATGCACGGACCCTGTTATCCATGTCTATCGTTGATAGTAGAGGGTGCGTTCTTACATGAACAGACCCTTGGTTCAGACTACTGTCTTGCTGACATTTGTGCGGGGGTGTGCGTAATACGAAACGACACAAAGAGGACATAACGCCCGCAGCGGAAAGGCGGGAATAGGGTTTGATGAGCCTTTCGGCAGGGTTTACCACCCCATGTGCAGCTGTTACGTTCGTTTGTTAGCTCATAGTTAAGCTACTCCCCTTACGATCCGTCCTAAAACTGGCCTAACCTCTCTGCGCGTGGGCACGTCATAAGTACACATGTCGACCATCGATTGCGCTCGATGTGGCGCTGCACTACTTAATGAAATAGCGCTTACCGCGCACCGGGCCCACAGCGTTCACTGTGCCGGCCGGAACGCGCCTTCCGCGTTTCGTGGGCCGGTAGTTATTTCGGCGGAAGCACCGCGTGCAGATGACGAGGCGGTTGCGTCGGGCGATGAGGGTTCATTACAAAGCGGTGTTCGAGAGCTGACTTGGCTAATTAGCCGTTGGCACACAGGGGGACTGTCAAGCCGGGACGTCAACGGGCTGGTGCGCACCATAACGAACCCACACTTTGCTCCTGGTCAGATAGAGCTTGGGCGATTTGTACACAGAGAATAGGCAGGCAATCGAGGAAGCGGGTAACGCTGGTGGGCCACGATGCTCAGTCGTGTGCGGATATGCCAGTATATATGCTCTGTTGTGCGCGGACCAGGCCTGGGTGCACGGGCAGCGTCACAGTGTCGGATGTATTTTTATTACATTTCTTGGAATGACGATTGTAAGTTAACTTAGATTACGAGGGCAATGTAATCTGTTGATATCATGAGAAGATTGCATGAGACTCGTAGCGAGACCATGTTCTGCTCGTAACGAAATAAATAACACTGCAAACCAGACCTGACCGGTTTGCACACCGGATACCAACCAGATGGCGCCACAAGCCCAACCACGTTAAAACGGGGGATGGTTGTACGTTTAGGTAAGGTTAGACACGGACTGCACAGACCAAAACAGACACGCGTACACCTCCGATGAACCGTACAGTGGTTGTCCCGCCACTGGGACTGGACACATCCGGAACATTGCACTTCATGGAGAGTATCAGTCTGTTGAAACACGCGTGGAGTTAGGGTTTCCTATTACCCATCGTAGCTATGTTGGGCAACGCATGCGAGGCGTGCGGGGCCGAGCACGTGGATGATAATACGCTGCAGTCTCACTTGGCGGGCAACATACGATGCAGACGTAAGATTAACCACGCTAGGGCGGAGCGGCTCGTGGAGGCGTACAAAGAGGCAGTACGAGCCATGCGGGGCGAACGCCCCCCTTCACCTGCCAGGTCCCGTCATTCCGACGCGGCTGGAGAGGCAGGCGGCAGCGCACGCCAGCATGTGGCAGCTGAGGATCCACTCGCTGATGCGATAGCGCAGAACGAAGATGCGCAGAGTGACATAAGTAGTATTAACGACGGCTTCGACACTCTCACCGAGATGTACATTTTTTTCCGTGACGCTGACCTATCAAGACGGGAGGTTAACAGATTGCTCAACATATTCGCGAACCCCCGCTTCTCGGTCCGAGATGTACGACGTTGGATGAACTTTGTCGACGTGAGGCGGTTCGGGAAGTTGATGGCTCCACCTGATCTAGTGCCGTGGCAGAAGACCGTTATCAAATGCTACGGTCCAGGTGGAAAAATGGCAAACCTCCCGCTTCATTTCAGGAACACGGAGCTGGTGAGTATGGGGCTCGTGACATGTGGTGTGTTCGTAGATGGGAGACACTTGCGATGGTGACACGGTTTAAGCCTCACGGAGTTATTGTCTATTAATGCGCTTTGCAGTTGGTGCAGAAGCTGGTGCGGACGTTCGTACACACAGAGGGATTTGTGACGGCGCCGCGGAGGGACAAGGATGACAGCGAGGAAAAGAGGCATTTTAGCACCCCCGACACCAAGGTATGGTTGGAACAGGCTCATGCGAGCCGGCCGGAGCAGAAGGGGATCATTTTGGGGGTGATTGTGTACAGCGACAGTACGCACGCGAGTGCCAACGGGAGGCTACAAGCGTGGCCCGTACTAATAAGTCTGGTGAACATCCCAGAGGCACTGCGATGGTTAGAGCCGGGCCATGTTATGGCTGGCTTGCTGCCTTTTCCACCTGACTGGGCCACGTCCACCGAGAAGACCCGTGTGTTCCAGGAGGCGATGGCGATTATATTCGAGCCGCTGTTGAGAGAGCACCGAGGGTGAGTTGGTTGTGACTCTTTGCGGTTTCCTGTCATGTCTGCGTGGATGGAGATGCATTGATGTTGCGGCGTGCATTGGTTGATGAAGTTCCGAGCTGAAGTTCATATACGTGACGGATGCTTCTGGCCAAGTGGTGAAGGCTTTCCCATGCTTGTTTGCAGAGGTGGGGGACTACCCCGAGTCGTCCAGGTGCATGGCTACAATGCAGCAGGGTTCCCACAGGCCTTGCAGCTCGTGCTACATCAAGAAGACTAGTCTGGGCGACCTGAACATGAAGACGACTGTCAGGACGGTGGAACTGCACCGGAAGGTGGTGTCGTGGATGCAGAACGCATCCACGAAGGACGAGGCTGACAAGATCCGGAGGCGATGGTCGACACACCCCGTGCAGGCCAGCTGGGTCCGATGCATGTGTTGTGCCGAGGAACAAGTATCTTGTCATTTCCTGGCGTATGTACGGGTTCATGGTCGTGTGCGTTGTGGGGTTGGGTTGATGGCAGACGGTACTGGAGAGGTGGAATTTTTCAGAGACGACCTGGGGAAACGTGTTTCTTGCTTGCGTGGCGGACGTGCTGCATGTGTTGGACGGGGGGTTCCTTGGACACATGGTGGACGAGTTCATTTCTTCTCTCAGCAAGCCGGAGAGGGGGGAACTGGAGAGGTGGGTGGTGAGTGCGTATGTCGTTTGCAGTCGCGTTGTTTTGACATGACGTAATACTTAGGCTTCTGGGTCGTCCATGTGCAGGCGGAAGAAGGAGCAGAAGAAGGACACTCGGGTGGTAGTTCTTGGTTCAAGTCACGGGCAAACTACGCGGCGTTCGAGAACAGGGGCATGATGCAGGTGATGCCGATACTCATCGCGGACAACATGGAAGGGTGCGAGCCTGATGTGAAGGAGCAGCGGTTCAATGAGGTGAGGGCGTTCAGGAGGTACGCGGTGTTCTACAAGTCGCTGCTCGGCGTGAACAAGCACACCGAGAGGACACTCAGTGACGTGCGGCAGAACGCGTACATGTGAGTGTGGTCATTTGTGGCTTCCAGATGGGAGGGGGGGCTTCTGTGGGGTGTGGAATGTGATTTGGACTCATTGGAGCTGACGTTATTACGCAGGGGTGTAGTAGTGGCACGGAGGAAATGCTGCCTGGTTGGATGGTTGTTTAGGTGGACCCTAATCATGTCTGGTCTGGATGTCGTGGTGCAGGATGCTGGACGCAGTGCAGGAGGCCTTTCAGTCGCAAGCGTCCGCGTGGAACTTACCGAAGGTGCACCAGATAATTCATCTCATTAACTGCGTCATGCTCCGCGGGATGCCGTATGAGTACTCAACGAACCTGTGGGAGCACACTCACAAGGGCATTGTGAAGGTCCCCGTGCGCGGGAGTAACTGGAAGGACATACCCCGACGCATCGTGGAGGAGGAGGTGCAGAGGGAGATCACACGAGAGGTGGCGGCCCTGGCAGGGGGAGGACGGCAGTACGTCAGTGCGCTGCGTGAGGTGAGCTGGCCCAGTCGGTGGGATTAGAGGCCTATGGGCCGCGGAATGGATGATGGACGAGGACGGTGATGGCGGGGGTGAAGGAGCACATTTGGCTGTATGCATGGTTGGGGTTGCATATCGTGGACTGCAGAGAGTGTGTTGGTGTCCTAAGCGACATGCGTCAGCCGGGACATTTGTGGAACCCATCGGTGCATTACTGGGGTGGAATACGTGCATTACGCGGGTGTCCTTCATTTCAGGCGGTAAGGCTTCAAACGTACGTCCTGACGAGGAAGTCGAGGAATGCGGACGTAAGCGACGGGGAGGACGCAGAGCTGTGGGCGTACAAGGAGGCACTAGGATCAGACATGAAGGAGCTAGGCAGGTGCCTGGCGGCAGCTGGAGTGACGAACACCGCCATCAAGGTGAGCACAATTGTATTCACCTGGGCAGTGCGCGGACAGTGAGCCGTGAACTTATATGACAGGGCAGGGGGGCGGTGACAGTTTGATGTGTTCTGGCATGTGCTGAGCTGCGTCTGTCGCACACATGTACAGGTTCACACGGCGGTGGCCATTCCGCGTACACGTGGTGGGGAGCTTGTCGCCAAAGGCACGTTTGTGAAGGCCAGCCCGTCCGAGAAGTGGTTTTTGGACGTCGCAGTCAAGGCGAAGAAGGACAAGGAGGAGTGGTACGCACGATGCCTGTGCGTGTTCCGAGCAACTGACGCGGAGGGGACGGAGGGGAGGTACGCATATGTGAAGTACTATGAGGCGGCGGGCTTGTGCCCCATGACAACATGCGTGCAGCTAACCCCTGGGAGGGTCACCACACGCTACTCAGTGGTGGACGTGGAATGCATTAAGCGTGTGGTGCATGTGTGCAAGTCGTATGTGAACAAGAAGGTCATGCTGCTGAACAAGTTTTTGCTGTGTGAGTAGGTGCATCTGGTGTCATGTGGACGCGCTCGCGGACGTGTTGATGGTTTTGTAGATGCTTGGTCCGAGTGTTCGTGCTGGTAGGATTGTCACTGTATGCAGATGACATTCTATGCAGAGTATGATGGGACATGCGTGTGTTTTGTGCACCTCTTAATCTTACATGTTTCGTGTAGTGTACTCCCTAATGTTGTGTCCAACTGTGGATGCAGATTGTATGCGGGTTGGTTGTCTGGCGGTCCCACATTTTTTTTTGTGCGTGCCGTGTAAAATGGTATCGCGGCTCGATGTGAAATTGTAATGTGCGGCTCGAGCGGTGCGACGTGGAGCGAGTGGGGGCCACTGCGGGGGTGACCGAAATGTCACAAAATTGGCGGGATGTTTTGGGGGTGTCTTGGGACTTTCTGTACGCTTTTCCGTAGAAAAACCCACGAGAGCCAAATTTGGGTGGCAGCCAAAACCGCGATGATGGGCTTGGAGTCCGTCGCGTACTGCGCGGTCAGCTCGCCGCACGAGTAGTCGATGTTGTCGTGCACCAGGTAGCACGCGCCGTCCGTCTTCTTGCCGTCGATGGTTATATCGGAGATGTACTGCCAGTACGTGCAGCTCTTGAACGACGCGCACGTATTGCAGCACGTCTGCGGGGACGCCTTCTTGAGCGTGAGCGGGTTACCCTTGACGTACATCTCCACGCCCAGCTTGTTCTTGAGCAGATTCGACGTCTTCCGTTTCGCCGAGATGCCGCCCTTGCTGCAGTTTGCGGGCGTGCACGCGCCTTGCCCCGGCGCGCCCAGGTCCTTGTGGCACTTCATGGCGTTCCACCCGGCCTTCTTCACGTCCACCAGCAGCTCTCAAGGTTGCTCTCAAGGCTCCTCTGGAGTCAGCTGACTCACCAAGAAGTACTGATGGTTCTCCCCGGCTTAAGGGTCCTGCTGATGACGCGTTGGTGACTCCTCAGCCGTTGACAGATCGTCCATTGTCGCCGTCTGCGGTCCCTGTTCAGCCGTCGCTGATGTCGCGCTTATCAGCGCTGAAGGTCAACGGTCTTAAAGATGCGATTGATCAGCCGTCGGCTGACGGCGAGCCTGCTGCCCTTTCTCCGCGTCCGGCTTCTTCGTCACAATCCCATGAGGAAGAGCACCAGGAGGAACCTGCTGCATAGGAAGAGGACGAAGGATATCTGAGTGACGATCCTGATGAGGAAGCAGATCCAGAGTCTATGAGCATTGTGGCTTCTAAGCTGAAGTTTACGCTAACGTTACTTGTACCTTTCAGGCATGAATCAGAAGTGCCTAGGACGGCAGACTCTATTGCAGCTCATCTTGATCATTGGAAGGATGAGCTCTCTGAAGCAGCGCAGATCACTACAACATACCAGAAGCTGACCCCGATGTACCTGCCCAAGACGCGCTTTGGTCACCTGCAAGTGGTTTTCACGTCGGAAGATGATGCTTACCTCGTCAGGCAGCGGAAGATTGAGCATGTCACGCTCCAGAGGGTGACGCTGGAACTGGGATGGCAGTTCCCGGAAGACTCGACGTATGTCCACCTACGCGCGTTGTATCCGCACGCGATCGAGGTGGTTTTGAAGGGGGTGCCTGCTGAGGTGTCGCCTGATGTCATTAACAGCCTGCTGGTGGATGTGAAGCTTATGAAAAGGGGGAAAACGGCGTACAAGGAGGGGTTTGGCTTTCATCGTGTTCAGGATCCTGTTACTGGACTGGACACGGACAAGGTCCGCGGTCTCTTGGTCCAGCACGACAACGACCGTTACCGTTGGCGTCACTTCATTGATGAGCCGGCCAAGCGTGGGAAGAAGCTTCTTCTGCACTTCCCGTCCATCACGTGTGACTTCTGCAATGGTCACCATATGACCTGCTACCACGACGACTACGTCACTGACCGTCAGGCCAACATTGCAAAATGGAACCTTACGGTTAAACGTATCCATGAAATCTACGGTATTGCTGACGGTCCTTTTTTCTCACAGCACGAACCTTCTCCGCTTCTTATTCCTTTTTACCGTACTGACTTACCTTTTTACTCACCTTCGCGCAGCGGCCTCTCTGATAGTCACAGACCGTCTGAAAGCCATTCTGAAGGATCCCGCGATGGTGTTGGTGTCAACTGGGTTTCCCGCGAGGATTGGGTGTGTGTTCAGGATGCCTGCGAGAAGGCACACGGTGCCAGCTTCGAACTTGCCGCTGCTCATGTCGCGTCCATCCGTCACAAGACGAACCGTACCAAGGCAGGTGCTGCTACTCGCGCGAGCAAAGGTGCACTCGGCGTTGCTGTCCTGAAGAAGGAGTTCTCCAAGTGATCTGCTCGCTGGAAGAAGGGGAGGCAGAGAGGCAGTCAGAAGGTGTTGGAGGGTTATCTGGAATAAGGCACACAGGGCTAGCAGTCTCCGGTGTTGCTGTTGATGTATCAGTGGTAGTTGCTGTATTGTGTGGAGTGGTGCTATCAACACGTTCTTACGACCCTTGGATGCTGTGGGGTCCCCAGGCAGTGGTTAAATGAATACATCCAACACGGTCAAGGTGTGCGCGCTCAATGTCAACGGATTGGGCAGCGCGGGGAAAAGGAACAAGTGCGTGCGGTGGATAAAGAAAGCAGTAGGTGTTATGGTGCTGACAGATACACGCATAGGGGAGGATCACAACTTCTGGACACAAATGAGGCCTACGGCAGTGGCAGCGGTTGCACCCTCACAGAAAGCTGGAGGGGCTGCGGTCTTGACTTTTTCACCTGATGTGCAGATGTTGGATGTTGTCAAGCATGAATCAGGACGGCTGTTGAGTGTGGAGTTAAAATGGAAAGATCTGGAGTGGAGGCTGGTCGCGGTTTACTTCCCTGCGCAGGCGGGAGCCCGTGGGGTTTTCTTCAGGGAATGTCTCTTTCCTTTCATGAGCAAGCTTCCGGCGACTGCACACACAATGATGATGGGTGACTTTAATCTGGTAGAGGACCCGGAGTTGGACAAATCTTCAAGAATTGGGACGATGGCGGAGAACCAAAGGCTGCTGAATGGTTGCGCTGGATTTGATTTCCATGATGCATTCCGGGTGATGCACCCGACTAAGAAGGAGTTCACCTTTTATTCTAAGTCGGCGAAGGCGAGCTCGAGGATTGATCGTGCGCTGGTGTCGGCTTCCATGCTGAGCTCGGTTGGCGGGGCCTTCCACACGTATGTTCCTTGGGGGATATCGGATCACTGGTTCGCCATCTCGGTTAAACTGTCGTCAATGGCGGACAGGGTGAAAGGGCCGGGCTTGTGGAGGCTGCCTGCAAAGTTGGCAAGCAGTCAGGGCGTGAGAAATATTACTCAGGCGATATCGCGGAGACAGGAGGGGAGCGAGGCTACTGATTTTGGGAAAACGTTGAGGAACTTGCAGACGGGGCTCAAGGAGTATGCAAAAGGGGAGAGGAAGAGGGTGGCGCGTACAGTTGAACACATGGAGGAGAAAGTTGAGGTGCTGAAACAGGCCTTCATGAGTGACGCAGGGGATGTCAGCCTGCAGGAAGAACTGGCTAAATATGAGGCGCAGTTGAAGGCATACTGGGATGGGAAGAGAGACTGGTTGCAGACGCTATTGGGCTTACAAGGGGAGCTGGAGGGGGAAACTCCGACGAAGCTTCTCTCGGGGTTGGTAGCGGCAAGGAAAGCGAGAACGGAGATTGTCACGCTCACAGTTGGAGGAAAGGAGATCAATGAAGCGAGAGAGGTCTTGGAAGCGGCGACTGATTTCTTCCGGGATCTCTTCGGTAGCGCTAAGGAGGTTGCGGAGGCAGACTGGCTGACAGACCCGTTGAGGCGCCTGGATGAACGTGATCGGGAGGGGCTGCAAGCAAAGTGGACGGAGGCAGAGGTTAAAAAGGCGGTTGCGGAGCTACCAAAAGGAAAGACACCAGGACAGGATGGTCTGCCAAGAGAGCATTTTGAGCGAAATTGGGATGTGCTCGGGCCGGGTTTGATGAAGTTTGTGCACTCGTTTGAGAAGTCGGCGGTGCTCCCGGAGTGTTTAACGACGGCGGTGACAATTCTGCTTCATAAAAAAGGAGAGAAGGACAAGCTTGAGAACTATAGGCCGATTACACTCCTCAATACGGTGTACAAGATTATTGCAAAGGTGCTGGCGAACAGAATGAAAGGAGTGTTACCAAAGGTGATATCGGAGGATCAGCACGGGTTTGTGCCAGGTCGGAGGCTGTCGGACGCGGTAGTGGTCGTGGAAGATGTGATTAATGCGGCTGTGGCAGGGAAGGAGGATTGGTACCTGTTGTTAGTCGACTTTCAGAAAGCGTATGACTCGGTGTCGCGGAAATACCTTTTCAGCACGTTGAGAGGGATGGGTTTCCCTGAGGTTTTCATCGGCTAGGCGGAGGGCCTTCACACGGATGCAGGCACCAGGTTGCTGGTCAACGGCTGGTTGGGAGATCGGCTGGCAGTCGAGGTGGGGGTGATGCAAGGCTGTCCACTTGCCCCGTATTTGTTCATCTGCGCAGTGGAACCGCTGTGTCAGGAGTTGGTTAAGCGGCAGCTGGGAGTTCGGAAGCGTGGAAAAGGAGAGTTGGGGTACCTGGGATATGCAGATGATACATCGTTGGTGTTGAACGGCCTGGCTCAGGTGGAGAAGGCGAAGGAGGTGCTGGAGGACTTCGGAGAGGTGTCCGGCCTGTGCATCAACAAAAGCAAGACAGTGTTAATGCCGCTGGGGAGGAACCGCAGGAAAGCTTTACAAGGGAAGGTGCCGTTCGAAGTGGCAGAGCCAAACAAACCGGAAAGGCTGTTGGGAGTATGGATTACGCCGAATGGTGAGGCGGGGCCGTCGTGGGACAAGGCTTTCGAGAGGGTGAGTAGCGCGTTTGGTCGATGGGCGGCGTGTCACCTAACGACAACGGCGAGGGTAGCAGTGGTGAATGCATGCGCGATGCCGGTGCTACTGTTCCAGGCGCAGATATATCCGCCGCCGATAGACTTCTGGACGAGAGTCAGGATGCTATGTCATAACTTCGTCTCCGGGGGTAAGGCGACGTTGGATCGACGCTTCGTTCTTTGGAGTTACGACCTGACATGCAGAAGGAGAAGAGATGGGGGACTGGGAGTTATAAATCCGAGGGACCGGATTGACAGCTTGGCGCTGCAGAGCCTGAGCAAAGCGATAGCGGAAACAAATGGTATGAAGCGTTGGATGATGGAGCAAGCGGCATCGATGCCGCTGGGCTGGGCCACCTTGTGGGCGCATAAGGATATTGCCAAGCAGTGGGGTAAAGGAGGGGACAGATGGAGAACGGTGCTGCAGATCCTTTGGAAAAGGAAGCTGGTGTTGTTCGCGGAACCGGTAACCAGATGGGAGGTGGAGCAAGAGCATCTCTGGCTTAACCGGCGGATTCTCTTCAGGGGAAGGAGCCCATTTGGTGCGCAGAGAGGATCGGAATGTCTGAAGGGGTTGAAGCTCAAGGACCTGCTCACCACAGAACAAGATGGTTCAGTGATGGTTAAAGATCCGCAGAGGCTGAGCAGGGAACTGGGTGGGAAAATCCCAGCCAGATGGGCGCTAAAGGCTTTCCAAGCGGCGCCGATCGAGTGGCGGAATACGCTCTTAAAAAAGAATTCGGCAGAGGAAATCTCTCAGGCGACGAGTCTGGTGCGCATGGGCGCTGATAACGCGAGGAGGAAAACATACTGGAGAATTTTACGAACTGAAGGGGAGAAGCTCGTGGTGCAGAGAGTGGAGGTGGTGCGTGATCAGATGCTTGCGGTTCCGTACGCCAGTCCCTGCGTCATTAGTGCAGCATGGGCCACGCCGATGAAAGAGGTGGACGGGAAAGTACTGGGACTTCTGGGTCAGCACCTCACGAGGCTACGGGAGTCGCCTCTCTGCAAAGGAGGGGAGCTGGTTGCTCTGAAAACCCTAAGGAGGGCGATAAGAGAGTCAGCCGAGAAACCGAAGCAGCAAGTCAGCTGGGAGGAGGAGTTTGGGAAGCGAGTCAACTGGGCAAAAGTTATTGACACAAGGGACTCGTTGGTGGTTCCTTCCAGGGCAAGGGAGATTCTTCTTCGTCTGCACAGCAGAAATCTGCAAGTGGGGGCCAGGCTTCCGTTTCTGGGGGATTTGGCGCGCTGTCCACACTGTGGGGCAGAAGAGACGGTGGACCATTGTCTGATGCAGTGCCCGGAAGTGGGTAGGGTCATCAAAAAATTACAAGCGGCACTGGGTGTCATGGGGCTAAGGAGGAAGCAAAAAGTGTTGGTGACATGCTGTTCAGGGAAACGGGCACGAAGTCGGCTTTTCCAGAGCTACCGCTAATTGCCATCACGTTCCATCAGCTGTGGGTGGAGAGATGCGGAGCGGTGTTCCGGCAGGAGAAATTTCAGTATAAAAGGGTAATCAGAAAGATCACGACGTGTTTCATCCGGCACGTGAAGATTTACAGCAAGGGGAGAGGCATGCAGGGGTGCAAGACGAATACGGCGGGTGGCTGTGACTGGGGACACCTGGCTTGGGACGAGGCACGAGCTCTCAACAGTGTTTTCGTCAGCGAGAAGGATATGACGTGGAGGGAAGCTTTCCGCTCGGTCTGGGACGACCCGCATACACACTTTAAACCGCCATAGAGGGGGGGATGGGGGAATGACCGCTAGGCTCGGTAGTGGTTAGGTTCTCCATTGAATCAGTTACGACTGTGGTTGTATGCAAGCCCTCAGATTCAGTTTTAGGGTCGTCAACCCATCAGGGTCCCCTGTGTGTAAACTCTGATTGACAGTGTTCCAAAAAAAAAAAGCCTGAAATGACAGTGTTGCGTTTGTAAAAAGCCTGATGCATCAGTGTTACACTAGTAGAAAGGCTGTCACTAACGCGTCGCAGGTGATGGCAACGGGGCAGGATCCTTGGCAGCCCTCCAGCACCACATGGTGGCCAAGTTCGGATTGGCCAAGACTGACTGCTGCAGCGAAACGGCCCAATGGTGTGAGGCGCCGCGCCAACAAAACACCTCTGAACGTGAACCAGAGGCAGAATTTCACAGGTTGGCCTCGCCACGGTTATTTCCTGATTGTTTTCATTGGTTATTTCGTAGTCTATCTCTCATTTTGCCCATTCTATTTCCCATTTCTCTCCCTGTTTTCTCCTCAGAAGCTTTGCTGTATCCTTCAAGAAGTCAATTTTAATGTGGAATATGAAACGATAACAGTGGTTGATGATCTGTAGGATACTTGTATTGTTTTGGTAAATTTTCTTGCATGTTTTCCGCTTGTTTCGTTTGAGTTTTGAGGTTTGTGTGCGTACGTGTGTGGTTGTGTTTGCATGTTTGTATGTGTGAATGTGCATGCATGTCCATCTATAACTGCATCAACAATGCATGTCTGTGGGTTTTAAAAACGTGAATCGGCTCTATCATTTTTACCCAAAGGTTCATTGGCGCGCCTATCGGGAGCCCACTTGAATTGGAGATGATAAAGTTGACCATGTTTTTGGAGTTCACAGATTGTGTTGTTTCATGTGACTGCTGATTGTTCAAAACTTATGCTATTAGCTCCCCGACATGCTAGGCAGAGGATGCGGTAGCATAGTTTTTGGGTCGTTAGCTTTCACGCATCTTTATCATTATATATACGCATCATAGATTGTCAGTGATAAGTAAACATTATTCATATCGAACTTAAGGCATGCATTTATCATTTATCATATCATATTTTACACAATATATCGCATTTAATATAATATCATTCTATTCATCTACATTCACATCACCGATCATTACATTTATATTTTCATATGCAAATTATATAGAAGTAAAGCACAACAAAAGTAAATCACAAAAACAACCTAGTTGTTAAAAAAATCAGCACCACCACGTTAGTATAATTCAACTAGACAGGACCTCCTACAGGTTACATAGCTAGCAATTAATGCATCCAGTTTTTTTTTTTTTCATATTTTATTTAAAATTTATTTCATATGAAAATGTGAAAAAAAAAAAAACTGGCCAAATCGATCGTAATAGGTTGCTTCGCAACCCAAAAAAGGTGAATTCGAAGCGCAAAGAGCAGGCTCGTGTCATGGTCAGCATGAGTGAACTCCTGGGTCGCCAAATGTCTGCCGGATGCTCTCCTCACCATCCTTTACCGCTATAACGCAACTCGATTCTTCCGATGCGGAAAGCTACAGCAGGGTATGCATGAATTTTGCAGCACATAATTTATAATAATAAAATGTCTTACAATATTCAAAATTCGCCCAAATTGAGGGCCAGAAACCCAGCCAGCAGTCTGCCGTTGGTGGATCTGAGCTCGTTAATCAGACGGCTCCAATTCGACCCTAACGACCCAACAAATAGATCGCACTGAGCAGCAATCAGCAAGCTAGCGAAGCTGACTGCCACTGATTGCTCACTATCATATGCCCGCAGGACCTCTTCCCCTTGTTCTTCCTGCTGTGGTGCTGAGTTGTCGCTTTGACGGGTGTTGGTGGAGTAGAAGAAGGTCCAATCGGGGTAGAGAGACGTGGCATCGACCACCGACTGCACAGTCAGCAACGGGAGAGGGTGGGTGGGTGAGTGCGCGTGTGTTGAGGGTGGATGAAACAGGGAAAGGGGGAAGAAGAAATTGTTGGTGGGGTAGAAGAAGGTCCAATCGGGGTAGAGGAAGAACCAATTGTTGGTGGCAGGGCAATTGACGTTTGGGTGAGTGCAAGTGTGCAGCCACGTCCCTACAGGATCCTGGCTGTGTTAAGTCAGCTCAAGCACACCACGCTATCCTGTTTGTGGGAAACTGGCTCAGATTACTCAAGTGTTTGTATTGATTGGCCTCAGTGTTCTAGGGTGTCTTGTCTTGCCTTGGTTTGATACCGTACCTGTGCTTCGGTGTTGAGCCACACAAAGTGAAGGTCAGGCCGGGACCACTTTTGAGGCGCCTCAAAAGTCGTCTCAGGGTTCTAGGGTGTCTTGTCTTGGTTTGGTACCGTACCTGTGCTTCGGTGTTGAGCCACACGGAGTGAAGGTCAGGCCGGGACTGCTTGAGTCTGCGCAGGGAAACTCACAAGGGGTCGGACGGAAAGGGTGTGAAGACAGAATTTGCATGTTCATAGGAGTTTTGTTTTATTCGGTACAGACTGAAAAATGATTTCAATGTTGTCAGAGCCCAGATATGCACTGAGCCAGAACCCACCTGAGCCTGAATCCACCTGTACCAGAGCTTGAGCCAAATCCCACCTGAACCAGAACCCACCTGCACCAAAACCCACCTGCACCACAACCCACCTGCACCACAACCCACCTGCACCACAACCCACCTGCACCAGAGCGCACCTGTGCAGGAGGAACATGTGGGAGTGGAAGGAGGCGAGGCGCATCTCCCTGCCCTTGTCTGTCTGTCGCACATGCACGCTCACCATGCCCCCTGGCCTGTGCACCTTCCCCCCCACCATCCTGTACGCTTCCTCCGCTCCCACCTCCCTGATTTCCTCTCTGCTGCTGCTGCTTTCGCCAGTGTTGCAGCCGGCAGCAGGGGCACAGCTAGCAGCGGAGCAAGGGGGCGCGGGGAAGCCGCGCTGGGGCCACACGCAGGCGTGCAGCGAGCGCACGGGAGGGGGTGACGACTCGCCCTGTGGCACCTCCGCTGCCGCTGCTGCTGGTACCTCCGGTGCTGTCTCTGGTGTGGGCAGCTGTTGTGACGCTGGTGGAAAGGCAGATGGTGAGGGGGCTGACGCAGAGGAGGAGGAGGAGGAGGAGGAGGAGGAGGAGGAGGAGGAGGAGGAGGAGGAGGAGGAGGAGGAGGAGGAGGAGGAGGAGGAGGAGAGGGGAGAAGATTCTGAGGAGGGGATTGGGAAGGTGGGGGGAGGGAGGGAGGAGGAATAATCGTCCAGGCTGGAGAGCACTTGGTACTGACTCTCAGTGATGGCGTTGCTGGCTGAGAGGCCACGCAGGAAGGCGGTCTGGGTCGGGGCGAACGCTGCGAGCTGATTGGCCACGAGCATGCCGAACGCGGCGTGGCGCTGCTGGTTGATGGCGTGGCAGAGATGGGCGGAGGGCCAGCGCAGCATGAAGCGCGTGGCCTGCGCACGCCACCAGTGGGTCTGATTGGATGGGAGGTGGGATGCGGGAAAAGAGGGGGGAGAGGGAGGGAAGAGGAGGGAAGAGGAGAGGGAGATGAGCAGGCGCCCAGACAGCATGAAGCGTGTGGCCTGCACATGTCATGCCATGCTATGCCACGCCATGCCATGCAACCCCATGCCACGCCACGCCACGCCACGCCACGCCACGCCACGCCACGCCACGCCACGCCATGCCTCAAGCGTGCCTAAATTCCCATCCACACACCAAATTAGATGCCTCTTGCGTCATCCCTCATGCCTACCACTAAAATCCATCCATCATTTGATTGCCTCACATCACACGTTCCCCACCATGCTCTCACCATGCTCTCACCATGCTCTCACCATGCTCTCACCATGCTCTCATTCGCCGACATGCCTTGCATCTGCCCCCAGTGCTCCACCGTGGGTGGTGTGGCCAGATAAGCAGAACCCCACAGTCTGCAGGTATGTAGGGGGAAGAAATGGGGGGGAAGGAAGGAGGGGGAAGGCATATGTCTACCCACAATGCCCCGTTAGGGCTAGAAAAGTGGGGGAGAAAGGAGGGGAAAAATATATGTCTACTCACAGTGTCCAGACAGGGAAACCCCACATCTTGCAGGCTGGCAGGAAAAAAGGTGGGGAGCCGGGGGGTGGGAGGACGAGGGACGGAAGAGTAGAGCAGCACCGGAGGGGTGCGAGGACGAAGGACAGTGAATATCTGTCAACTTCGAACGCTTTTCTTGCCATGTTTTTCGAGTAGTATCAAATTCCCCTCCTGAACTTACAACCGGTGATTCAAACTCCAACTTTTTGGCCTACTACCGAGCCTCCATAAACATCACAAGTACTCTCAGCCCCGTACAGCTGCGCACCTGACACCTGCTCATTCTTGTCATAGCGATTCTTTTTCCCCCTCCGTTTTGCGAACCGTGCTGTTTTGTTCTTGTAAACAACCATGTCCATCTTGTCCCCCCATGTGGGAGAAAGAGGGGGGTGGAGACAGGATGTGCATCGTTGTTTACAAAAAACAGGACAGCGTGGTTTCTGAAACGGAGTGGAAGAGAAACCCACGTCATGACAAGAACAAGCAGGTGCCAGGTGCGCAGCTGTACGGGGGTAAAATTGCTTGTAATGTTTATGGGGGCACGGTAGTATGCCAAAAAAAGGAAATAGGATACTACCCGATGAACTTGCCAAAAAAAGCGTCCGACTGCATAGGGCTGGCTTGCTTGCATGAAGAACTAGGATACACACAACATCACATTCCCCATACACAACCGCAAAAGGCTGACTTGCTTATATGTACACCACTCACCTGGCTGCTCGTACCACTCTCACCTGGCTGCCTCACTGCCCTCCACCATGAATAACTCTCCCAGCTGCTGCAGCTCCACACACACAATGGGGGCATCTGATGCTGCTGCTGCCTTGAAGCCCCTAGCGACGCATGGCGGCACGGTGCGGGTCGCCAGGGCTTGCTGTGCCCTCTGCGTGCAATCAGAAGAGACGATGGGGAAGAAAAAACACTCCCATGACCCCCGCTGCCCTAGGTCTGGGGGGAAAGGGAGGGGGAGGAGGAGATTGGGAGGAGGGAGGGAGGATGGGAGAGAGGGGGGGAGGGAAGGAGGGAGGGAGGGAGAGAGGGAGGGAGGGAAGGAGGGAGGGAGGATGAGTGGGAGGGAGGGAGGGAGCATGAGAGGGAGGGAGGGAGGGAGGGAGGGAGGGAGGGAGGGAGGGAGGGAGGGAGGGAGGGAGGGAGGGAGGGAGGGAGGGAGGGAGGGAGGGATGGGGGAAAAGGGGAAGGTGGGAGGGAGAGAATTATTGGGAGAGGGAGAGGAATAGCTCAGCCACTGGGAAGTGTCAAAACTGCACCGCACCGCACCGCACTGCACTGCACTGGAGTGGAGTGACGTGACGGGGACGAAGCACCCTGCCTGACACGTCCACCTCAGCAGATATAGAGATGATCCAGAGCCCATGGCAGGCGGGGCGGGGAGGAGGGCGAAACACACACCTTGACACGCACCTCTTCGCACCTCACCGCACCTCACCGCACCTCCCAAGCCTTAAGCTCGTGGCACGCACCTTGGCAGGCGGGGAGGAGGGCGCGGTCGAACTGTCCAGGCCAGGGCACGAAGGTGCGGTTGTGGGTCATGGCTATGCTCAGATACGCCCCCGCCAGATGCACCTGCACCAGTACAGGACAAAGGGGACAAATTGCCTTATTGCATACCTGATTTTCTGTCTGAGAATACCACCTGAAGTTATCTGGAAAACCCCATCAGCAAGACCTCTGTCCAGTTAATCACGACCTGACCAGGCACATGTGAGTCCACCTGACCAGTTAAACCACCTGACAAGCACTTCACCTGACAACTCACCTGACAATTCACCTGACCGCCAATAGAAGATCCACCTGACTTTCACCTAAAAAATCCACGGATAATCAGCGACTCCAGGTAAGAAATCCACCTGATTGTTAACATGGAATTCACTCACCTGACCCCTCACCTGAAATTCACCTGACCGCTCACCTGAGACCCCAAGCCGTGGCGTTCGGCCGGCCACCAGCGAGCCAGCAGCAGGCGCCGCCCCTCACACGACGCTCCTATTCGCTGGCTCTCCCAGATGTCTCTCTGCGCGACACGTGTCAGTGGCAGGTTGTCCACGTCAGCACCCCTCACCCAAGGCGGGAGCGGCCCCTCCCCACACCCCTCCCCTCCCCTTTCCACCCCCTCTTCCGCGCCCAAATGCGCCGGTTCCCCGCTTCCTCCCCCTTCCCCCCGTCCGCGCGCCCATAAGGGCGGCTTCCCCCCTGGTCCACGCGTCTCTGAGGCGCGGCGCCAGGCAGTGCGCGCGGAGCAGTCCTCCAGGTGGGGCGCGGGCGGAACGGCGGGCGGAAAGGGGAGCGGAGAGGGCGGGGGAAGCAGCGACGAGGAGTTGTCTAGCCCGTAGATCTGCGCCCATGCCTGGGGGACGGGTAAGAGTGCGCAAGGGGGGGAAAGGGGGGGGGAGAAGGTGGGGGGAGAGGAGGGGGGGTGTTTGAGAGCATGGGGGAGTGGATATAACAAAATAGAGCTTGCAAAGAGACGCCACAAACAGTGGCGGTGGCTTATACCGCGCACAGCTCTTTAGCACGCTCTTTAATCTCCTCCCCGTTGACTGCTGATAATCTTCGCCCGCCTTCCGCCCTTCCGCCGCCTTCCGTCATTCCGCCGCCATTACCCTCTCCGCCTAGGGAGTCTCCCCCGTCAATTGCCCTTGAGACGGCTGCAGTCGCCACTACGACCCAGGCCACTACCAGCACCAGCGCCGATCGCAACGTACGCGTTATAATCTCTCCGAATAAGGCCATACGTAGAAGTCGCCGGGCATTGTCTAATCGCCGCGCACCACCTTCTCAACAAGAGTGATTTTCAGCGTATCAAAACGTACGAAGTACTCGACGCGCTGCGAATGTCTGTATCTCGGCGTGCTAGGTGCTACATGGTCGACACATTCCAGCTCGATTCGACAGTTGTCTGAGCGCGCGGGTCTACATGCTCTGAAATGGAATGGATTGGAAATTTACGCAATAGCGGAGCATAGCAGCACTTAGAAGATCATAATTACCATTTTTACAAAGGATCGACAAAAGAAATAACAATATTATTGGAGGGACTGGTTGCTCGCAGCCCAACCAGCTGCAACCAAAGCCAGCACCACAAGCGCAATTTTCTTCCGATTATCTTTCAGACGAGCCACTAAGAATTTTCCAAGAGGAGCCTTATCGGTGCTTGGTGTGCCATTATCTTCAGCTCCATTTGATGTACCTAGTATAAGGACACACCAATCAACATACAGAGCAAAATATTGACTTGTCAAATTCCAATATTCCTTGGCATAAATGGCGAATGCAAAGGGTGTCGTGAAAAAAGCACAGGAGAGAGCAAGCGATACCTTACAGGGCAACTCACCAGCACCGGAGGGGCGATAGCGCAGCGTATTGAATAGTGACCCGAGCACGATGGCGAGCAGAGTGCAGGTGAGAGTGATGACGTTGTATGGCATGCTCAGATCCGGCAGCGGTACAGGCACCACCACCGGTGGCGCATACATGTGGCTCTGACCCTGGGAGTTCTGCAGTGAGAAAGAGAGAGGAAAGGGGGATATCGCCATTTGAAAACTCTAAAAAAGCATCATCACAGGGGCACCACCACCACCACCGGTGGCGCGTGTATGTGGCTTGACTCCTGTGGGTACTGATGCGGTGGGAGCGTCGAAAGAAAGGAGGTAAGGAGGTGATGTATATGCAAAAAAAAAAACTTTCGAGGCACCTCAAAGGTACGTGCTTGAAATGCATGCACTGATATGCGTGTGTATGTATGGCACAGTCATTGGCTATACAGAGGGGATGGTGAGTGTGACAATACCGAGGGCACAGCGCGCGACATCACAGTGAGTGTGGTATCAGTGAGAGTGACATCTGTCAGTGTGACATCACAATGAGCGTGAGAATACCAAGGGCAGAGTAAGTGTGACAATACTGAGGGCAGAGTGAGTGTGACAATACCGAGGGCAGAGTGAGTGTGATAATACCGAGGGCAGCGTGAGTGTGACAATACCGAGGGCAGAGGGAGTGTGACAATACCGAGGGCAGAGTGAGTGTGACAATACCGAGGGCACAGTGAGTGTGACAATACCGAGGGCACAGTGAGGAGGGCAGCGGGAAGGTCGACTCCTCTGCTGGCATCAGGCGGCGTTTCAAAGACAGTCAGAAAGGCCTGCAGGGCGGTGAGAGGTGGATGGTGACAGGAGGGAGATGGTGGGACGAGGGAAGAGGCGAGGGGAAGGTGGTGGGACGAAGGTCAAGAGTGTGTTGGTGAGTGCGAGAGGAGCAGAGCTCAAGGGTCTTCCTGACTCAAGGGTCTTCCTGACTCATAATCGAAGGGCTGCACTACGTAAAGCTGGCGCTTTAGCAACAGGATCAACAGTGTAAAACTTAGTGTGAAAAAGGTAGATCTCAAAAACCCTTAGTCTCGAAAAGGCCTCCTTACGCAAGGAAGGTGGTGGGACAAAGGTCAAGAGTGTGTCGGTGGGTGCGAGAGGAGCAGAGCTCAAGGGCACAATGCCTTTCTGTACGACACTGTGATTGTATCGGTGAGAGTGTCACAATACCGAGGGCATTGTGAGAGTGATCACACCTTTCGGTCCTGCAATGGGTAACACATGAAGCCTGAAACCCCTTCAATTTAAACCCGCACCTTTCGGTACTGCACTGTGATTGTAACGCGAGACACTCTTCTGGGCACGCGGAGCAGCAGCTCCAGCACAGCAGGCGGGCCTCTCTCCCTCGTCAGTGCAATAAACACATGATACTTGACACACGCGTAAGAACCCGTACCTTTTGGTATTGTAGAGTAATTGTAACGAGCTGGTTTTTGAGAATTCTAAAAAACCAGCTAAGATTCCATACCTTTCAGTATTGTAGAGTAGAGTAATTGTAACGCGGGACACTCCTCTGGGCACCCGAAGCAGCAGCTCCAGCACAGCGGGCGGGCCCCTCTCCCTCGGCCCCTGTGACTATACCACACGACACTTGACACACCCAAAAAGCGCACCTTTCGGTACTGCAGTGTGATTGTAATGCGAGAGACTCCTCTGGGCACCCGCAAGAGCAGCTCCAGCACAGCGGGCGGGCCCCTCTCCCTCGTCAGTGTGACTAAAACACAGGAGAGACATGACACGCTAAATCCCCGCAGCTTTCTGTACTGCAGTGTGATTGTAACGCGAGAGACTCCTCGGGGCACCCGCAAGAGCAGTTCCAGCACGGCGGGCGGGCCTCTCTCCCTCGTTGGCTGTAGCCGCGCCGCTACAACCGCGCTGCTGTCCCTCAAGCTGACAGGGCGGTGGTCGAAGGAGAGAGTGAGCGTGTGCAGGTAAAGCTTGAGCCACCACGGCACCGCCTGAAACACACTCACTGTGTCGCTTCTACACTCCCCGCTCTGACTCTCTGTGTTGGAAGAAGAATCATTATTATTTTTAGTATCACATTCTCTTGAAGCACCCCCTGCTCTCTGTATCAGGAAGGTCAGCCCCCCCAGAGCATCTCCTGTGCCTGTGGTGAACCGGGAAAGGACAAACAACGCCGGCCGCCGCTGCCACGCCACACGCCGCTTCCAGTGAATGCCTGCCGAGCTGACCGCTGCCACGTCACCTACATGCAAAGCAGATTCAGCAGCAGCACCGTCAGCAGCAGAACCAGCAGAAGTAGTGGTCGAGCCAACAGCATCAGCGGCAGCAACAGCATGAGCGGCAGCAACAGCAGAGGCGGCAGCGTCATATGGGAGCACTGGTAGGCGGCTCCGCATGTCACGATGCAGCAGTACTGCCTCCACATGCTGCACGGCCCCCGTGCCCCTCATACCCCCCATACCCCCCATGCTCCCCATGCTCCCCATGCTCCCCATGCTCCCCATGCTGCCCATGCTCCCCATGCTGCCCATGCCCTCATTTGAACCCCCTGGCATCACAGCACCACCTCTTGCCTGCACTCTCACCCTCCACTTCCCCTCCAACCCAAACACTGCATTGCTCCTTAGGAAAGTCGCCCACCCCACTTTAGAGTCACTACCATTACTGTCACCTCCGTTACAGGCCACCACCACCGCAGCAGCAGCAGTAACAGCAGCAGCAGCAGAAGAAGTGGCAGTGGCAGCACCTCCTGATGATGCAGCAGTGAGTTGAGCCGCGGGGCAGAGGAGACCGGACGGCACTCTGATTGCCACGTCTGTTGACGTGGCAAGGGGACACACTGACGTCAGCTGCCGCCCAAACAGTGCACCCACACTCCAATCAGGCGGCAGCGGAAGCACATCGCTCAGATCAAGCCCCCCTTGTGATGCTGCTGCAGCTCCTAGGTTAGCAGCGGAAGGGACGGGTTTGTTGGCAGATGCGGCGGCAGCGGTGGCAAGGGCGTTCTCAGTGGAGGCATCGAGCACGAGTGTGAGCGACTGGTGCAGCACCACAGCCCACGTCTCACCGGCACATGCATGCATGGCAGGGGAGATGCAGGAGGACGAGCAGGACTCACGCACACCCTCCCCTTGAGATTTTGTGCTGCATGTATCAGCACCAGTACCCACATTCCCCCTGTCACCCACACTCCCCTCCTCGCACACACTACCCTCATCACACACGTGGGTCCACACAGCAGTGTGCATGGAGTGGTAGCGTCCGCCAAACACGGCCCCGCGGTCCAGGAGAGACGAGAGGCCTGCAGCGTCGCGGCACGGCAGCAGCTTCAGCCACGGGGTCAGGTTCTCCGTGCACACCGGCTCCCGAGCCATGCTGCCGTACCTCACGTGCAGGCCCGGCGGCTGGTTCGGCGGTGGCAAGGAGGAGGCGGAGGAGGAGAGGGGGTGGGGTGGCGGGTGGGAGTGGTTTGAAGAGAGAGGGGATAGGGGATGAGATGGTAGGTGGGAGTGGGTTGGGAAGGGAGGGAATGGGGTGTGGAAGTGAAGAGCGGGGGAGACGACGGCGGAGGGGGATTGCAGGAAGTTGAGGGAGGCGCAGAACATCCCTGCGAGGGCGTCAGTGAGGTTGTGCCACGTGGCGTCCAGCTGGCATGGGGGGAGAGGTGGTGAGGGGAGGACAGGAGAGACGGGAATGAGGGGTGAAAGAGTTGAGGGCTGATGGGGATGAGAGGGAGAGTGTTGACAGAAAGTATCAAGGTGCAATGGAGTGACAACAGTTTGGAATCTCACGAACTACTTCCCAGTAATTCCCCTCTCCCCTTTACCCTTTCCTCTCACCTCTTTCCCGCCTTCTCCGCCCATCCACGCGACCAGCTGTGCCCCTGGCGGCCTGACGTCGTACTCTTGGTGTGAGAGAGTCGGGGGAGGGGGGAGAGAGGAGGAGGAGGAGGAGGAGGAGGAGGAGGAGGAGGAGGAGGAGGAGGAGGAGGAGGAGGAGGAGGAGGAGGAGGAGGAGGAGGAGGAGGAGGAGGAGGAGGAGGGGGTGCCCCATTGCTGCACGTCCCAGTTGCCGTGTGTGAGCGAGAGCGAGAAATGGCGCACGCTCAGCGATTGCACCTGGTGGGGGATGAGGAGGAGGGAATAGGGAAGAGGACGAGGGAAGACGGGAGGAGGGGATGGGAGTAGGGGAGAGGGAGGAGGGGAGACGGGAGGAGGGGTGTAACACCTCGCTACCCACTAGGTCAAAACGAGGGTGTTATTTGGCGCAGCGGAGTGCCCTTAACACAGCCCACAGGCGTTACACTCGTCCCCCCCTGGTGCCAACGTCCCCGTTGGCCCTGGACTTCAGGAAGTCGGCCCCCTGCCGCTGGGACCTAGATTTCGCAGTGCTGTTGGCTGCGACTTCGCTGGTTGCTCAGGCCAGCGGAGGATCGTTCGCTGGGTTCGAGCTGGTTACAACCGCACTTCAGTTCTCGCCAAAGGCGGAAAGTGTGGTCCAGCCGGGATTCGAACCCTAGGCTCTGATTCCAATTGTAACACCTCGCTACCCACTGGGTCAAAACGAGGGTGTTATTTGGCGCAGCGGAGTGCCCTTAACACAGCCCACAGGCGTTACAAGGGGAGACGGGAGGAGGGGATGGGAGGAGGGGAGAGGGAGGAGGGGAGACGGGAAGAGGGGAGACGGGAGGAGGGGAGGAAGGACTTGAGGGGAGGGAGGAGGAAGACGAGAGGAGGGAGGAGGAGGAAGGATGGAGGAGGCACCAATGAAGAATGTGCGTGGGGAGCAAGGTGTGTCGACACAAGGGACGAGAAGATAGAGAGGGAGGACGAGGGACAAAAACGGAAATGGGGGAAGGCAACGGGGACAACGAAACGCTGACAAGGCGCGCGGATTCTACTATGACGGCGCGGCATACAAGGTGCAGGATGGCCGGGGGGAACAGAACCGTGTCCGCGGACTTTCCACCTTCTTCTAACTCTCCCGTTCCTCCCGCTCCTCGCGGTGCCCGCAGCCGGCTTTCGAACGAGAAGTGCGCCAACACGCGGCCATCTGGCAGCGGTTCGAGCATCAGCCGTTCGTGAAACTCCTCGCGACTCGACACTCTAACGCGATCTGATAGTGCTGCTCTCTGCCGAACGGGCGTATCTGCGGCCGTTAGAGCCGGCCCAGATTCTCCGCCGTAAAATGCCGAGAGGCTGAGAATAATTGCCAGTGGCACGAGCCACATGGCTGAAAGATTAAAGGTAGAATGCCGTTCGGATCAGCGTGCGTTTGGCGTGCCTGGCAATACCTTATAAGAATCCTCGAACTTTGCTAGAGATTAACACCGTCCTAACGGAGCAATTGAATGCAGGACGCGGATGAGATAACGTGAAAAGCGACGCGTTCCTAACCTCCTAACTGCCTCTCTGGATGCGGGTGTCTTTCTCAGAAGCCTCCTAGTTCGTGTGCGTCGATCCTTCGCGTCGCATTGCTCGGGAGAAAGTCATAGTTCAGAAGAAAAACGTTTGTGGTGTGGTTCCTGACCGAGAATCTAGTGTGTGAAGCAAGATGAAAGTTCAAGTGGAAACTGGCAAGTCCGACTCTAAGGATTTACAAATCATTACTAAGGCACTCGTTAGCGAGGGTCACGCGACGAACCTGTTGGGCCTATTTAGTCGCACCTAACCACCCCCGAGTCGCCTCCTCTCCAATCGCAAACATCACCGAGCCATCCCTTCCCGACCTCCCCGCCTAGCTAGCTTTTACCCTATTTAGGCCTCGTCACTTCCATTGTATCGTCAGTTCTTTTGAGTTCATTCTCGATATTCGTTATTCTGCGCACTCTGCAAGTTCATCCATAACACCTGGTATCAGAGCTACTTTCCTAGCTCACCCCGCTTTTTTGAGTGTAATACCCCTCGGGGGGGGGGGGACGAGGAAGGATGTCTTGGGGTCCAGGAGTTGCGTGCTAGCCGGCCAGGAGAACTAGTTAGTTGCTCCTTGCGGCCATATTTTTACGGGCACTCCTTGGCACCGCCGGATCCTTGCCTCGAACGGTCGCGATCGACAATGACCTCCCTTCCCCCGGGCAACGGACAGCTGTAGCTGTCGCGACATTAAACGTGAGTTTCTATTCCGCTGCGGTTTTAACGATGATTTCGGAACTTTGTGAGGCAGCTGGCGTCAGCGGACCTGCGTCGGCACCTGCACGAAATTTTCGGAAGTCGTCACGATGAGTGGCAGTTGACGACGTTGGACCTGAGTCAACAGTTGCGCGACAACTTCGGAGTCGTCCCATGCGGCAAGTGACAACGGTGGCTCGTCGTCATCTTGCGCGCGTGACTCACGGAGTGTGGCTCGGCAGCTGGCGACAAGGGACGTGCGTCACTGTGGGCGATAATTTCGGAGCTACTGTGGAGAAAAAGTCGGCTTGGGAACTCGCCAGGCGCAAATGGAGGATTGCGTCCGAAAATATCGGTGGCGAGGAGAGACGACACGAAGACTGCCCGATTTACGCGGGGTCAACTGCCATCCCGCCCGACCTGAAGTGCAGCGGCTTTTACTGCATGGCGGCGCGTCATCGAATATTTCGGCAGGAGTGCTCGTGGACAGACGGGACTTCAGACTCGCGACACTTACGGGCTGCAACGAAAAGCGGAGTGGCCGTATCGCACTTAGCAGAAGTGGGACGCAGTCGGCGAGGGAAATCGAGGCAGGTACACCTCGGAAACAACTCGTGCGACACTGCGTGCCTGGTGTTGTTGCAAGTTGGCCGGCATTATCGAGAGCGGTTTCTCCTGACCAGGGAATTCGTTTTCGGGGACAGCTGCTGACAACCCACGATTAAACGGCGTCCAAGGTACCGCCCGACAATTTCGGAGGGGTCGGTACAGGCTGCCGGGACACACGGTCAGAAACGGTCCAACAGCTAAGCGGGGGTTGAAGAACGTCGTGGGGAGCAGATTAAAAGCTGGTGGAATCGATCTGCGGCCCTACTTCGCCCGAACCTCACCATCCCCACCAAGTTCTAGTTCTGACTCATGCAGTCAACTTGCTTGGCCGAATAACGGGGGTGAACACCTGCCTACCCTGTGCTGGTTAAAGGCACCTGGATTGGTGCTCGTTCGACAGCTGTACAGAAAAAAACAAAACAAAAAGTGGAGTTCACGGCACTGTTCTACTCCGACAAAAGCGGGCTGGGTGAACGGCACGCGAAAAAATCGGGGCGCCGCAAGGACAACATTGGTGCAGTTTACGGATTTCTCCTGACCCGGGCGTCTACCTGAATTGACGGCGCAGCGGCGAAGCTGAGACCGGGGAGCTATGGAATTTTCGTGGCGTGATAGGCACGGCGGGCTGCAAAACGGTTGGGCGATATTCCTTTTAACTAAGGACCCCGACTCCGATAGTTTTTGCCCCTCCACCGTGGCCGGGTTCGCGCGGGCAACAACGACGATACCCCATCCGACAAAAGCGGACGCTGGGTGAACGGCGAAGGCGATATTGTCGGGGGGTGAACACGAAAAAATATGACGACGGAGGGAAAGTTGTGGGTGATCCAGCAGATCACTTGAGTGAGAGGTTGAGCCCGTGCACCACTCCACCGCGAATTTCGGAGTCTATTCGGTAGACACCCGAAAGGGTTTGATATTCTTACATGGAGGCGCGGCGAGGGGTACATTGCCAAGGATACCTGGGATTCGCTAAGTGGTTTCGACGGGTGGAAGATGGGTGAACATCGGAGTACCGGGGTTAACGGCGGAAACGTCGGGGCTACACGGCGGAGAATAACTTCGGGACTGGTGCCTCAACCACGATTTTCGGGTGATCTTTCTACAAAAAACAAAGTTGGAGCTGAGGGTGTTTCTTCGCTTCTTGGAGTGCGGTTGAGCCGTTGGGGGACTTCGCCTGAAGGGTCACCTTTTTAAGTTGCCTGGCAAGAAACACAGCGGCGGGGATACCTAGAACCCACTGGTGTTTAAACGTACGCCGCGGGAAATTCTTCAATAAAAGGGAGCGTGGGAGCAGCCGAAGTTTCAGGGATTTACCTGCCGGCGACGAGAGATGAGGTGAAACATCTGCAAAGCGCCAGTGGGAGTTCGCGTGTTACTTTGTTAAAACATCATCGGCGGGAGCAGTTTCGACGACGGGGTCAACGGCGTTGATGCCACTAGGATCCGTGAAAGTCGGTCTCGGAATACCCAGGTTTAGTCCCCGGTTCCAGATTATGCCACCAGATGGGTTCTGAACTGACGGAAACAGCTGGTGACCGAGTGGGCGGCTATAGTAAGACCGAAGATTTCGGAGGAGAACTGCAACTGCAACTGCGGATTTTACGGGGTTGTTTTCGAGCGACAATTTCGGAGTTTGACGACGGACTTACCGGTTTTATGGCGAGGAGCGCCGACATTTTCGCGACAACACTTCGGCGTTTGGTTAAACGCGTGCGACAACGACGCAGGGCAACACCGCTGGAACTACACGGAGTTTCAAGGGGTACGAACTGAAGAAGGCGGCAGCAACAGTGAAGGGGGGGAGAGACAGCTGTAAAAAAAATCATCCCTGCCCACGAACCATCGGCGCTTTACGACAAAACTCTCGGAGATTCCATTCCAATTCTACCACTGACAACTCGCCTTCGACCCGCCCACGACAACTGCATTAATTCTCAACCACGTCAGGTGCTGCCAGCTGCAACTGCTGAAGATATCGGCTGATTCTGGCGACGTGAAGACAAAAAGGTTCAGTTCGAGTATTCGATAAATTGAGTTTCGGTTTCCGGGCTACATATTCTGGTTCACCCTCGAAGAAATTTTGGGCACGTAATACCTGGTTTCTTCATCAACTTTTCCACACCGACGCATTTTCGTCCGAACATCACCACTCAACGCTTTTCTTCGTGAGACTTAACACCTGGATTTTTGTTGGTTTTCATCTCGGCGCAGCAGTGAAACATTTTCTGGTGTGCTTTCTTGGAGGGGGGGAGAAAGTGCTTTGCACTGTTCTTTCCTTGGCGTATTTCTCGGTCCTTTCTAACTTTGTCAGGTTGCGTCAGCACGACGGACGATCGCGATCACACCGACACGATCTACGGTCCATGCTCACTCGCGTTTGAATTCGCGTCAGCAGGTTCCCTCTCTTTTCGCGTCAGTCTTCGACCGTCAGATCTACATCTGCTCGATCAACGGCCCACATTCCAACTTCTACTTCATTTTGGGCCAGTTCATCTTCGACCGTCAGATCGAAATCGGACTTCATCAACGGCCTACATTCCAACCTTTTCAAAAATATTGTCAAAGGCATTTCAGCCGTCGGATTCAGCTGAAGAGGAGATCTACGGCATCCTCGCTAGTGTGGGGTCTGTTTTCAGTACAGAGCTACCTTATTTAAAAGGTGGGAGAGTGTAAGGATTTACAAATCCTTACTGAGGCACTCGTTAGCGAGGCCATCCCGAGGGTCACGCGACGAACCTGTTGGGCCTATTTCGTCGCACCGAACCACCCCCGAGTCGCCTCCTCTCCAATCGCAAACATCACCGAGCCATCCCTTCCCGACCTCCCCGCCTAGCTAGCTTTTTCCCTATTTATGCCTCGTCACTTCCATTGTATCGTCAGTTCTTTTGAGTTCATTCTCGATATTCGTTATTCTGCGCACTCTGCAAGTTCATTCATAACACCGACAATCCCAAGGGCGATCGAACTGGACGTGAGGCAAAAGCTTGATCGATGTCAGAAACCAGGTATTCAATGAAAATGCGGATAAAAAAGTGATGAAATCGCAGGCTTAAAATGAAACTACATGACATGCATTCTTTGTATACATTTAGCTCTCAGCTCCATCGTTTTCGAAAAACATACTCTGAAAACAACGAATCTGATCCTGCCTTATCATCAATCTCAATCGTCGCCCCATTCACTGCAACTCCATTTCCAACAACACCCTTGGCCCTCCCGCCTCCACTTCCCCCATCACCATCCCCAAACACCTCTCGTCCGCTTCGCCATTCCTCCCCAACACCACCAACGTCCTCTACATGAACCACCTCGATACAATCACCTCCGCTTTCATCACTCGCTCGAGCCCTCTTGGCACTTCGTCCCAACAAACCAACTTTAACATGCCCTCCTGCATACCCCCCGTCGACAGCACCAACGCCAGCAGCCATTTTCCCCTCGCCATCTAGACCAGGGGGCACTGGATTGCCAGAATCTTCACTCCAAAGGCTCCTTTTCAGTGTAGCCGAGTCGGAGGAGAGAAACTGTGGCTTTCGCGACTCCTTCGGCGCGGAGGAATTCATATTAGCAGGAGGCGGGAAAGCAGCAGCAGCAGAGTTGGCAGGTGCATCGCGGGTGTCACTCAGTTGGTCAGGAGATACACCAGGAGGTTTGCTGTTACGGTCGTTGCTGGTGTCTCCGGTGTCCCCCTTATTGTGTTCTACAATAAGCCTCTCTATAGTCTCCAGCACACGCGCGCCATACCTGTTGACCTTCACTCTGCGAGGGTAGATGGGAAAAGGGTCAGCACAGAAACGATGGTGAATGGGAATGGACAAGCATGAGTGAGGGAGGGACATGGTTGCGGGAGAGAAACGATGCCAGCACTGATGGGTCAGTCAAGTTGGCAAGGAGATGGCATTGTTGCCAACAAAGTCACTCAAGGACTTGCTCTCCATATCCCTGTAAACATACAGGCAACAACATGTGAACAACATCTTGGTTCTACATACAGGCCTCCGGGCTTCCAATCTGCTCTGTGTGTACAGCCAGCACTGCAGCACATGCCACTCCCAGAATCTCCTTTTGGTGCCTCTGAAATATCTAAGCATAGAAGCTTTCATTCCGCCCTCACCATTCATGATTCTGCGGCCCTCACTTGATTAATTCCGCTCATTAGGAGTTTTGAAGACCCGCCTGGCAATGCAGGGAACAGTGCCACCACTTGCCGCCCACCCAGCTCCCAGGCACCCACCTGCCAATGCCAGGAATCTCCTGCAACGCGTCGAGAGTGCGGGGCAGGCGCTGACTGATGAGCACCAGCTGTGCGTTGCTGCGATGCGGCGCACGGGGGGAGCGGTTTCAAGAGAGGGGAGCGGGGAAGAAGGGGAGAATGGAGGGAAAGAGCAGGTGAGAGTGCGGGCAGGCGCTGACTGATGAGCACCAGCTGTGCGTTGCTGGGATGGGGCGCATGGGGGACGGGGTTCAAGAGAGGGGAGAGGGGAGTGAGGGGAGAATAGAGGGAATAGCAGGTGAGAGTGCGGGGCAGGCGTTGGCTGATGAGCACCAGCTGCGCGTTGCTGGGAAGAGAAGGGCAAGGGAAGTGGGACAGGGCGGGAAGGGATGGGTGAGGGGAAGAAGGGGGAATGAAGGGGAGATTGGAGAGGAAGGGGCAGAGGAGAATGCGGGGCAGGCGCTAACTGGTGAGCACAAGCTGCGTGTTGCTGGGAAGAGAAGGGCGGAGGGGGAGAGGGAGAGAGCTTAGCATGTCTACAAGCTGGCTTGCACAACTGAGCGAGAAACGCAAGGGAGGTGGCTGTGGTCAGACTGATAGTGAGCTTCGAAGACGGTATACTACCGCCGCGCTGCTGCTGCGCTGTGCGCTCAGTGCTCAAGTGAAAACGGAAGACAAACCAGCTGTGAACCCACCAGATGCATGCAGCAAGCAAGCAGTCAGGCTCTCTCACCCGAAGATGTGGTACGGCGCGAGGTTTTTTCCCGATTCCTGCACCAGCGTCTGCCTTAATGCATGCAGTGCCTTGTACACCGCCCCTGACAGCACCTGCCACATGGAGGAAAGGATATGGCCAGAGGGCAGGGGACAGGGGGCAGGGGGCAGGGAGAGGGTGAGGACCCCACAGCCAGGGACGAGAGTCTGTCTCGACGTGTGCAGTGCCTTGAATGTTGACTGACTGCCCCAACAGCACCTGAGATTAGGAGAGGCGAGAGAAGACATGCGAACAAAAAGAGAGAGGAAAGGGGGTGAAAAGGTGATATTCTTTTTCACCCTCAGCACATGAAGCAACTGTGGTTCAGTGCAAATTGCGATTCCATGGAGTTTGCAAGAGAAAACCCCACGGTGTGAATAACTAAGCCAAACATGATTCAGAATCAAAGAGTGAAGGCGCGACATGGGAAAAACAAAACTTAGTGTGCCATTTCCACCCATCACCCTATCCACATGGTCAAGCAGTGTGAACCGTAAAAGTCACAGCAGGTCACCAGTCACATCTCAGCTCGGCTCAACTCAGCTCATGTCAGCTCACCACGGCGGCCGCCTGTTTCGGCGGCGAGAAGGGCGCAGCAGAGTCAACAGCAGCAGCCGCCGCAGCAGCCATCTGCTGAAACCCCTTCCCTGCTCCCGCTGCTCCCCCTGCTCCCTCTGCTCCTTGTGTTCCTTCCCTTCGATCCACTCCCCCACCAACCGCAGAAGAGAACCCCTTGTTACCGGCACCATCAGACCATCTCACATCACCACCACCATCATCACCATTATCAATCTCATCTGCCCATGCATCTGCCTCCACGCCACCTCCCCCTCCCATGCTGCCAGCATCAGCCCCATTGGCAGCAGCACCAGTAGCGCCTTTCCTGCTGCTGCGAGTACTGGTTCTGGTTTGCCTTCTGCCCCTGCTGCCTGCGGCTTTGCCCGCGCCGGTGGCAGCAACAGGTGATGTGGTTCTGCCTGCACCAATTGACGCCTGTGCGGAGTCAGGTCGCTTCTGAATGGGGAAGCTGTGGTGGGAGAGGGCATGGGTAAGTGAATAAGCTCTTGAAATGTTGAAGCACTGAGATGCAGAGAGTTGTTTGTTCAAAACTGCAAGTGAGTGCGTGTGTGGGGGTGGAAACTGGCTGGCCGTTTGTGCACAACGGTTAAAGGGGTGCGCACAGCACAGCACCGTTCAGTGTGGCAAGATGTGAGAAGAGAATGGAAATCAACGATAAATGAGGCACAGAAGCATTGAACGGGACATTTCCTTTCCTAGAAATATAACCAGACAAACGAGCAAAAGGTAATAGAAGAAAGATGGGACGAGTTGAGACGAGAAGCCAAGAGCAACGGGATGGGGGAGGGCGGGCAGGGGAGGGGAGTGAGCGGAGCAGGGATGCATAGACTCGGGGACTAGGGACCTGGGGGAGCACAGGCGCATGCCTGAGTGTGAGTGAGGTACCACTTGAGTCTACTCAAGAGACTAGTTCACTCAGCAGGGAGGGAGTGGGCATGGGCACGCACCTGAGAGTGAGGTGGAGCTTCCCTGAGAGCAGCGCCTCTGCCTTGCTGTCGTTCACCTGCAGACAGCAGCAGCGGGGACGGGAATGAATGAGAATGGCAATGGCAACCACATGCTTTATGTCCCCCGCGCTCCATGTCCATGTCTCCCTTGGCCTTGGCCAACCACACGTGCCATGTCATGTGCAGGCAATTCATCCTCCCAACCCAACAGAGCCTGCACATGGGTTGGGAGGGAGGATGAATTGCCTGCACATGCTTGGCTGGTAGTGCAGGACTGACCCTCACTCACGCGGAGCAGATTTTTGAGGCGCCTCATGCTTGGCCCCTGACAAAAATCAATTCATTACAGCCCAACAGAGCCACGCACATGCTTGGCTGGCAGTGCAGAGCCACGCACATGCTTGGCTGGCAGTGCAGAGCCACGCACATGCTTGGCTGGCAGTGCAGAGCCACGCACATGCTTGGCTGGCAGTGCAGAGCCACGCACATGCTTGGCTGGCAGTGCAGAGCCACGCACATGCTTGGCTGGCAGTGCAGAGCCACGCACATGCTTGGCTGGCAGTGCAGAGCCACGCACATGCTTGGCTGGCAGTGCAGGACAGACACTCACCCGGAGCAGCGAGGAGATGGAACCATACGCCTCGCTCTTGTTGATGTCTTCCCTCACCACCTCCACACACACCATGTGCCGCACCACGCGCTCCATGTCCCGCCTACTCCACCCCCCTGCTGCCCCGCCCTCCTCATCCCCACCGCCCGCCTTGTTCTCCTCCGCCATTCGCTGCGCCAAAGCTGCGTGCCCGTTGCGCTTCACCTGGCGTGGTGGGAGGGGAAAGAAGGTTATGTTACAGGCTGCGTCCCCACCGCCCTCCCCTTCCCCCCCGGCCCGCCTTGTTCTCCTCCGCCATTTGCTGCGCCAGAGCTGTGTGCCCGTTGCGCTTCACCTGGTGTAGGGGGGAAAGGAGGAGATGGGAGGGGAGGGAGGGGTGGGGTCACTTAAGGGGCCTTGAAGCCATTCGCTGCGCCAGAGCTGCGTGCCCGTTGCGCTTCACCCGTGCGGTGGGAGGGGAAAAGAGGGGATGTTCTAGGCTGGGAAAGGTAGCGTCTCAAACGCCATTCGCTGCGCCAGAGCCTCGAGCTCCTTGCGCTTCCCCTGGGGCTGCGAATTGGGGGCGGGGCGAGGGGAAGAGGGCACAGGTGAGTGAGTGAGTGCAGCGCTGTTTGATTACCGTGTGCACAGGGAGGCAATTACCTGGCAATCCGCGCGTGAGCACTGGTGAAGCCGCGATGGTGAGTGCATGGATGATCAGGTTTGGCACTGGCACCATACCATACTCTGCATACACTCCACTCCATACCTGGGCACTGGCAGAGCCGCGCAGGAGATCAAGGATGTACTGCTGGGTGTGGAGCTCACCCGTCTCGCGGATAAGGGATATCTGCAGTGAGAGGACGTGTGGAGGAGCGGAAAAGAGGGGAAGAGCGTGTGTGGCAAAGGGGTATGTATACCGCGTGCCGCAAGAGGCCTGCGTGATCAAACGGATAAGGCATCAAAGGCCCACCGCAAAAAGGGAGGAGCAGACATGACTCTGATCATCTCGACTCGCAATGGGCACAGGCCGGGCGGTTATATTGGTGTTACTTTTGAGAATTCTCAAAAGTAACGCCAATATAGCCGGCACAGGCCAGGCGGGTGATGCCTCCGAGCTGAGTACACGGGTGGCACCGTGGCGTGACTTTTCGGTCAACACACAGCCCATTTCAACGCCAGGACGGGCTCGACATGCCTTTCCAGTCGTCACACAGACAACTCATTTCGACTCACGATGTGCAGGGCCAAGCGGGTGATGTCTCGGGGCGCAGAGGCAACGTGCCTTTTCAGCCAGATCAGAACGGGGTGGATTCAGTGTTTTTAGGCGCCTAAAAAAAATAAAAGGGGTTCACTCACGATGCACAGAGCCAGGCGCGTGATGTCTCTGGGAGCAGAGGCAACGTCCCGGCAGCAGTTATCGCAGGAGCGGCGACATTGGGCGGGGTCAAAGCGCTCCCCGACTCACAAATCATCTCGACTCACAATGCACATGGCCAGCCAGGCGCGTGATGTCTCTGGGCGCGGAGGGCAATGTGCCTTCTCAGTCGAATCAGAACGGGGCAGATTCAGAAGGGGTTGACTCACGATGCGCAGGGCCAGGCGGGTGATGTCTCTGGGTGCAGAAGCAACGTCCCGGCAGCAGTTGTCGCAGGAGCGGCGGCAGTGAGCGGGATCAAAGCGCTCCCCAAAATGGGAGAGCTGCACCGTGCGCCGACAGTCCAGGTCGTTCTCACAGTATCCCACCTGGTGGTGAGGGGGAAGGGGAGGGGGAGAAGACAAAAGGGAAGGGAATGGAGGGATAGGGGCGAAAAGGAATGCGGAACCAGGGGGAAGAGGAGATGGGGAAAGTGGGGACGAAGACGGGGGGAGAAAGGGGAAGAGGAGACGGGGACAGTGGGGACGAAGATGGGGGGAGAAAGGGGAAGAAGCGTGTGTGTTGGCAGCAGTTGCCGCACGAGCGGCGGCAGTGGGTGGGATCAAAGCGCTCCCCGAAGTGCGAGAGCTGCTCCGTGCACCGACAGTCCAGATCGTTCTCACTGTATGCCACCTGGGGGAGGGGGGGTGGGGGGGGGAAAGGGAAGAGGGTAGAGGGATATGGGGAGGGAGGACAAAAGGGAAGGACGGAGCGTGTGCGTTAGCAGCAACTGTCACAGGAGCGGTGACAGTGAGCGGGATCAAAGCGCTCCCCAAAATGGGAGAGCTGCACCATTCGCCGACAGTCCAGATCGTTCTCACAGTATGCCACCTGGGGGGTGGAAGGGGGAGGGATACAGAGGGGAGGGAGGAAGGGAAAAGGAGGGGAAAGGATGGAAACGGGGCCGAGGGGGGATTAAAAGACGGGGGTTGGGGGAGAGAATAGGGTCGCACTGGCAGGCACTGTTGTATTTTCAGTTTGCCACGTCACTTGTTGGGGGAGGAGGGTGTGTGTGTGGGTGAGAAGAGAGTGGCAGGGTGAGTGAGAATGGGGAAGGGGAGGTTCGTGAGTGGCAGGGGAGTGAGGGTGTGTGGAGGAAGAATGGGGTGTGTGTGCCAACAGCCGCTGTCATTCCCACTCTATGCCTACCTGCCAGCTGTGTTAAAAGGTGAGCAGTGTGCTGACTCACTGTGCAATGCATCCGACTAATGATGAGTTGCATCTGACTCACCATGCGATGCATCTGACTCACCATGCGATGCATCTGACTCACCATGCGGTGCATCTGACTCACCATGCGATGCATCTGACTCACCATGCGGTGCATCTGACTCACCATGCGATGCATCTGACTCACCATGCGGTGCATCTGACTCACCATGCGGTGCATCTGACTCACCATGCGATGCATCTGACTCACCATGCAGTGCATCTGACTCACCATGCGATGCATCTGACTCACCATGCGATGCATCTGACTCACCATGCGGTGCATCTGACTCACCATGCGGTGCATCTGACTCACCATGCGATGCATCTGACTCACCATGCGGTGCATCTGACTCACCATGCGATGCATCTGACTCACCATGCAGTGCATCTGACTCACCATGCGATGCATCTGACTCACCATGCAATGCATCTGACTCACCATGCGGTGCATCTGACTCACCATGCGATGCATCTGACTCACCATGCGGTGCATCTGACTCACCATGCGGTGCATCTGACTCACCATGCGTATCTGACTCACCATGCGGTGCATCTGACTCACCATGCGATGCATCTGACTCACCATGCGATGCATCTGACTCACCATGCGGTGCATCTGACTCACCATGCGGTGCATCTGACTCACCATGCGATGCATCTGACTCACCATGCGGTGCATCTGACTCACCATGCGATGCATCTGACTCACCATGCAGTGCATCTGACTCACCATGCGATGCATCTGACTCACCATGCGATGCATCTGACTCACCATGCGGTGCATCTGACTCACCATGCGATGCATCTGACTCACCATGCGGTGCATCTGACTCACCATGCGGTGCATCTGACTCACCATGCGTATCTGACTCACCATGCGGTGCATCTGACTCACCATGCGGTGCATCTGACTCACCATGCGATGCATCTGACTCACCATGCGGTGCATCTGACTCACCATGCGGTGCATCTGACTCACCATGCGTATCTGACTCACCATGCGGTGCATCTGACTCACCATGCGATGCATCTGACTCACCATGCGATGCATCTGACTCACCATGCGGTGCATCTGACTCACCATGCGGTGCATCTGACTCACCATGCGATGCATCTGACTCACCATGCGGTGCATCTGACTCACCATGCGATGCATCTGACTCACCATGCAGTGCATCTGACTCACCATGCGATGCATCTGACTCACCATGCGATGCATCTGACTCACCATGCGGTGCATCTGACTCACCATGCGATGCATCTGACTCACCATGCGGTGCATCTGACTCACCATGCGGTGCATCTGACTCACCATGCGTATCTGACTCACCATGCGGTGCATCTGACTCACCATGCGATGCATCTGACTCACCATGCGATGCATCTGACTCACCATGCGGTGCATCTGACTCACCATGCGATGCATCTGACTCACCATGCAGTGCATCTGACTCACCATGCGATGCATCTGACTCACCATGCGATGCATCTGACTCACCATGCGGTGCATCTGACTCACCATGCGATGCATCTGACTCACCATGCGGTGCATCTGACTCACCATGCGGTGCATCTGACTCACCATGCGTATCTGACTCACCATGCGGTGCATCTGACTCACCATGCGATGCATCTGACTCACCATGCGATGCATCTGACTCACCATGCGGTGCATCTGACTCACCATGCGGTGCATCTGACTCACCATGCGATGCATCTGACTCACCATGCGGTGCATCTGACTCACCATGCGATGCATCTGACTCACCATGCAGTGCATCTGACTCACCATGCGATGCATCTGACTCACCATGCAATGCATCTGACTCACCATGCGGTGCATCTGACTCACCATGCGATGCATCTGACTCACCATGCGGTGCATCTGACTCACCATGCGGTGCATCTGACTCACCATGCGTATCTGACTCACCATGCGGTGCATCTGACTCACCATGCGATGCATCTGACTCACCATGCGATGCATCTGACTCACCATGCGGTGCATCTGACTCACCATGCGGTGCATCTGACTCACCATGCGATGCATCTGACTCACCATGCGGTGCATCTGACTCACCATGCGATGCATCTGACTCACCATGCAGTGCATCTGACTCACCATGCGATGCATCTGACTCACCATGCGATGCATCTGACTCACCATGCGGTGCATCTGACTCACCATGCGATGCATCTGACTCACCATGCGGTGCATCTGACTCACCATGCGGTGCATCTGACTCACCATGCGTATCTGACTCACCATGCGGTGCATCTGACTCACCATGCGGTGCATCTGACTCACCATGCGATGCATCTGACTCACCATGCGGTGCATCTGACTCACCATGCGGTGCATCTGACTCACCATGCGTATCTGACTCACCATGCGGTGCATCTGACTCACCATGCGATGCATCTGACTCACCATGCGATGCATCTGACTCACCATGCGGTGCATCTGACTCACCATGCGGTGCATCTGACTCACCATGCGATGCATCTGACTCACCATGCGGTGCATCTGACTCACCATGCGATGCATCTGACTCACCATGCAGTGCATCTGACTCACCATGCGATGCATCTGACTCACCATGCGATGCATCTGACTCACCATGCGGTGCATCTGACTCACCATGCGATGCATCTGACTCACCATGCGGTGCATCTGACTCACCATGCGGTGCATCTGACTCACCATGCGTATCTGACTCACCATGCGGTGCATCTGACTCACCATGCGATGCATCTGACTCACCATGCGATGCATCTGACTCACCATGCGGTGCATCTGACTCACCATGCGATGCATCTGACTCACCATGCAGTGCATCTGACTCACCATGCGATGCATCTGACTCACCATGCGATGCATCTGACTCACCATGCGGTGCATCTGACTCACCATGCGATGCATCTGACTCACCATGCGGTGCATCTGACTCACCATGCGGTGCATCTGACTCACCATGCGTATCTGACTCACCATGCGGTGCATCTGACTCACCATGCGATGCATCTGACTCACCATGCGATGCATCTGACTCACCATGCGGTGCATCTGACTCACCATGCGGTGCATCTGACTCACCATGCGATGCATCTGACTCACCATGCGGTGCATCTGACTCACCATGCGATGCATCTGACTCACCATGCAGTGCATCTGACTCACCATGCGATGCATCTGACTCACCATGCGATGCATCTGACTCACCATGCGGTGCATCTGACTCACCATGCGATGCATCTGACTCACCATGCGGTGCATCTGACTCACCATGCGGTGCATCTGACTCACCATGCGTATCTGACTCACCATGCGGTGCATCTGACTCACCATGCGGTGCATCTGACTCACCATGCGATGCATCTGACTCACCATGCGGTGCATCTGACTCACCATGCGGTGCATCTGACTCACCATGCGTATCTGACTCACCATGCGGTGCATCTGACTCACCATGCGATGCATCTGACTCACCATGCGATGCATCTGACTCACCATGCGGTGCATCTGACTCACCATGCGGTGCATCTGACTCACCATGCGATGCATCTGACTCACCATGCGGTGCATCTGACTCACCATGCGATGCATCTGACTCACCATGCAGTGCATCTGACTCACCATGCGATGCATCTGACTCACCATGCGATGCATCTGACTCACCATGCGGTGCATCTGACTCACCATGCGATGCATCTGACTCACCATGCGGTGCATCTGACTCACCATGCGGTGCATCTGACTCACCATGCGTATCTGACTCACCATGCGGTGCATCTGACTCACCATGCGATGCATCTGACTCACCATGCGATGCATCTGACTCACCATGCGGTGAAGGTTGTCCAGGTTCGTTTCCAGCTGCTGCTGTGGCCCCATGCCCCCTCTCCCCCCCGCCCCTCCGCCCCTACCACCTGCCGCCTCCGCTGCCCCCTGCAGCAGCATATGCTTAACTCGCGCCTGGGGTGAGGGAGGGAGTGAGGAGTGGGAAGAAGGGTGGGAAGAATGGGCGGGGGGAGGGGGGGGGGGGGGGGGGGGGGGGGGGGGGGGGGGTGTGGGTGACTGGAAACCTGGAGTAGCAGCATTGCGACAACTCCCTGCACCTGCCACCTCCACCGCTCCCTGCAGCAGCATATGCTGCACCGCGCTGCCTCCTCGGCCGCGCCTTGGGTGGCACCGCGGCGGTTAGGAGAAAGGAAGGAGGAAGATGACATTTCACGTGAAACACCTCCCTACAGCAAGTGTCCTATCAATGAGGGGAAACGCTAAAACCATGTAAGAATCGTTTCACTTTTATAGTAAAGAGAAACTCGTGCAGTAAACTCACATAGTCGCCATAGCTGCACATGAGAACAAGCAAACTCAAAGAACACCGTATCTCACATGAATAAAAACGAACTCACATAATCACCATAGCTGTACATGAGAACGCAGGTGGCAGGCAGGTTGTCCCTCCCTGCTCGCCCCGACTCCTGCCAGCCCAGCGAAGAGAATCTCACACAAAGATTATGTGAGGCAGCAGAGAGAGACTGACTTCACCATAGTGACTTTGCCTTGGAAAGCGCTAAACGCATGGAATTTCAGAGAGCTCAAAAGGACTTTTCAAGTAGCAGCAATGGGTTACAGGAATGCATGTGGTGCAATGCTGTGGACGGAAGAGATGGGAACTTCTGAGTGCTTTTTGGAATCGAGTGGTGGAGAGTAACACTGTGGGGTGTAGTGCGGTATAGTGCGGTGCACGGCTGACCTGGTGGTAGCCCTCGATGCTCTTAGGGAGGGAGTGATGGATGACGAAACGAACATCAGGCTTGTTGATGCCTGCCATGAGCGGGGGCGAGGGATAATAACCAAAAAGACAGGGACGAGATGAGAGAACAGGATCCGGATTGGATAAGCAGTCCACAACGACCACATGAGGAAATTTTAGCTATCAAGGAGACAAACTCGAGTGACAGTGATAAAATCTGCGCAGATTTCTGCGAGCATCGACATGCAACTGCTGCTTTGTTCCTCGCTTAGATCAGATCGACACCAAGTTTGCAAAGCGAGAGTGGAAGAGCAACAAAGCAGCTATCCCATGCTGCGAAAACGACACTTCCACACCCACCCATGCCGAAGGCGACAGTGGCACAGATGACATTGATTTCGTCCTTGCTCCACCTCCTCTGCACGTCTGCCCGCTCGCCTGCTGTGTTTTGAGCCACTCAAAATACACCAGAACACACCTACTGAGTTGACTCAAAACACTCCCACACCCACCCACCCATGCCGAAGGCGACAGTGGCACAGATGACATTGATTTCGTCCTTGCTCCACCTCCTCTGCACGTCTGCCCGCTCGCCTGCTGGTATGTTGGCATGGTAGAACCCCGCTCTGTGACCCAGCTTCTGCCATGCCACACACGTCATGCCATGCCATGCCACACGTCATGCCATGCCATGCCACATGCCATGCACATCCCATGCCATGCCACACGCCATCCCATGCCACATGCAACGCCATGCCATGGTGTTAGAGCGACAAGCGAATCAGCAGAGAAGAGATGAGTGGAGATGAGAGGATGGGCTTCATAACCTCGTTAAGCATAAGCACGCAACAGGGCCACAGGGGAAGAACAAGAAAAGTACACAGCCCCAGACGCGTCCGAAGAGCCTGCCTTGATCGAGGCACGTGCTGCATCATGTCAAGTTAAGCCAAGCCATGATCAGCTGGAATCAATCAGCCTGTATTTTCACGGTCGTTGCGACAGAAACATGCGGTAGACAATGCGCGGCTCATGAAAGGAACCATTGAGAGCAGCCTTCAGCTACAAACTTGCTGTGAGCACAAATCACATTCCCTTATCCTCTCTTCTCTCACCGCATTCACTGACAGTGAGCTGCTCTGCGGAATCCTCGCAGTCGTTGCGTGACAGGCAGTACAGTACATGATGCCTCCCTGAAGAACACTGACTTGCACCCACCCAGCCATAACTTGCTGTGAGCACAACTCAACTCACAGTGAGCTGCTCGGCGGTCTTCTCGCAGTCGTTGCGTGACAGGCAGTACACGATGCCTGACTCACGGAAGAACCCGCTGCTGCGGATGAACGAGTCAATATCGTCCATGCACCGCCGCCCCTTCGCCCTCACCTCGTACCTGCACGGTGCGGTGCGGTGAGGTGCAGTGTGGTACATGGGAACACAGACACACACACATGGCATGGGTGAAGAGCATGGGCAAACAGAGTCCATGTCGTCCATGCACCGCCGCCCCTTCGCCCTCACCTCGTACCTGCACGGTGAGGAGTGGTGTGGTGCGGAGGATGAGCAGTGAGGCGTGGTGTGAGCATGAGCGGTGAGGTGCGGTGTGATGAGGTACATGGGAAAACAGACACATATGGCATGGGTGAGGTGAGGCGCATGGGCACATGGGTACGCAAAGTCAATGTCGCCCATGCACCACCGCCCCTTCGCCCTCACCGCGTACCTGCACGGTGTGATGCGGTGCAGAGAGTAGCATAAGCGGTAAGGTGCGGTGTGGTGAGGTTGGGGCAGTTCAAGGTCTGGTTGAAGACCACACATTGGGGTGTCTCGTAAGTCAACTCACAAGCCATCTCCGTACCCCTGACACAATCCTCTCTCTCTCCCCGCCACCTGAGGCTCGGGCAGTTGAAGATCTGTGTCCTCTCCTCACCCCATAATTGGAGTCACTCAATGCAGCTCACAATTCACCTCCCAGTACGTTCACACACTTCCACCTCCCCCCTACCTGAGGTTGGGGCGGTTGAAGGTCTGCTTGAAGACGGCACACTGCTTGAGGCACCACTGACCACATCCGCCTGCACTGCGTCTTTTGTTTGAGGCATCCCAAGGAACATCTCACACTCTCCTCCCTCACTCCCCCCCCTCCCTCTTACCTGAGGTTGGGGCGGTTGAAGGTCTGTTTGAAGACGGCACACTGCTTGAGGCACAGCGCACTGACCACGTCAGCCTGCACTGCATGGGTGGCCGTGGCTGTGAGTGCCATGAGTGGCACTGAGGGGAACTTGCTCTTCAGCACACCAAGGCCCTGGTGGGCGGGGGGATAGAGGGGCGTGATAATTTCATTTTTAGCATGCCCAATTCGTGGTGGAGGAGAGGAGAGGGGCGTGGGGGCTTGTTCTTGAGCACTGCATGGGTGGCCGTGGCTGTGAGCGCCATGAGTGGCACTGAGGGGAACTTGCTCTTCAGCCCCTGGTGGATGCACGAAGAGAGAGCGTGAGGCCAGGGTAACATGAGGACGTGTTGATATGCGGTTACGTTACAAGCTACAACTGACGGGTTTATTCAAGAACGTACAGAAGCAGGCCACTCTTGAGTCAAACTCAGCTTCACTCTGCCTCCCAATCACACTCACTTGGCATTTGATCCACAACCTAGTCCATTTACTTCATCTCTCACATCTCTGGCACACCTGGTAATCAGGGCGGAAGTCGTGCCCCCACTGGCTCACACAGTTGACTTTTGAGTCGACTCAAAAGTTTATTCAAGAACGTACAGAAGCGAGTTGACTTTTGAGTCGACTCAAAAGTTTATTCAAGAACGTACAGAAGCAGGCCACTCTTGAGTCAAACTCAGCTTCACTCTGCCTCCCAATCACACTCACTCACTTGGCATTTGATCCACAACCTAGTCCATTTACTTCATCTCTCACATCTCTGGCACACCTGGTAATCAGGGCGGAAGTCGTGCCCCCACTGGCTCACACAGTTGACTTTTGAGTCGACTCAAAAGTTTATTCAAGAACGTACAGAAGCGAGTTGACTTTTGAGTCGACTCAAAAGTCAACTGGCTCACACAGTTGACTTTTGAGTCGACTCAAAAGTTTATTCAAGAACGTACAGAAGCAGGCCACTCTTGAGTCAAACTCAGCTTCACTCTGCCTCCCAATCACACTCACTCACTTGGCATTTGATCCACAACCTAGTCCATTTACTTCATCTCTCACATCTCTGGCACACCTGGTAATCAGGGCGGAAGTCGTGCCCCCACTGGCTCACACAGTGTGCCTCATCCACCACCATGCGCACCAGCAGATCCTGCCGGTACAACCCCTCCAGATGCCGAAACAGGTTGTCGCTCCTGCGCCACAGGCAAGCAAAGAGAGAAATTACTGAGTTCAAGGGGCTCTCGCGCCTGCCACCACTTGCCACCATGCGCACCAGCAGGTCCCTCCGATACAGCCCCTCCAGATGCCGAAACAGGTTGTCGCTCCTGCGCCACAGGGACGGAAAGAGAGAAACTACTGTTCACATGGGGTTCTCCCGCCTGCCACTCACTACTTGCCCACCTGCCATCGCTCACCCTCCTGGTGATTTTCTCTGGGGTGACGTCTTGCTATTGCACATCTGCCAAGTTGCCAGAACCCACAAGCGCCACACTGCCCCACCCACCTGCCCACACTGCCCCACCCACCTGCCCACACTGCCCCACCCACCTGCCCACACTGCCCCACCCACCTGCCCACGCATGCCCCACCTGGCGATCTTCTCCGGGGTGACGTAGAGCAGCTTGATCTGGCAGCACGGAGAGCAGAGCTCCTGTAGAATGCGCTGCTGCTCCGGCCACTCCTGGCTGGCGCTCAGACACGCCGCAGGGATATTGTACTGCCGCGTGCAGGGGATGGGTGCGGTGCACACAGGTGCAGAGAATAAAAGAAGTGAAGGACGGGAAGCATTTGCTCTGGCCACTCCTGCCTGGCGCTCAGGCACGCTGCAGGGATGTTGTACTGCCGCATGCAGGGGTTCGGTGCGGTGCACACAGGTGCAGGGGAATTAAGAACTGGGGGACGGGAAGCATTTGCTCCGGCCACTCCTAGCAGGCGCTCAAACAGGCCGCAGGGATGTTGCTTGTAGTACTTCCGTGCAGCAATGCACAGGAAAAGACAGAACAGCTTAGGAGAGGAGAGGCAGACAAAGAGCGTTCCCGCTCAATGAGAATGGACGCATGCAACTCAAACCAGATACCCTGAACTCACACCTGCTCAAGGTGCATGATCGGGTTGCAGATGAAAGAGATGCTTCTTTGAGTCGACTCAAAAGCGTCGCACCTGTTCGAGGTGCATGATCTGGTCGCACCTGTTCGAGGTGCATGATCTGGTCGCAGATGAGAGAGATGAGTGGCGACACCACCAGCGTGACTCCTGGCGAGCACACTGCAGGGAGCTGAGGTGAAGGGAAGTTTGATATCATTGGATTGGAGGAGGCGCATGAACGTTAAGGTAATGAATAGCGGATACCTAGAAGGGGATGGGGCTGTGGCGAGGAATTAAGGGTGTTGAAAACTCATAGACATGAAGTGATGTGAAGGAAGGAAGGGATGAGGAGAAGTGCAAAGGCTAGAAAAGGAAGGGAGCAAGAAGAATGTGTTGGGAGCAGCATGTGATACAGACAGTCAGAAGGGGATATACAGACTGTTAGACAGAATGCTTGAAGATTGTAGCAGCGGAAAGGAATAGATGTGTAGGGAGATGACAAGAGGCCAGAATGCGAGACATGAGGCTGTGATGGCAGTGGGGATGCATGGGGTTTGCCTCGTTCCTTCCCATTGACTGACATCACCAAATGATCAAAAGCTTTGCTGCTGCCTACACCTCACCTGGTACGTGAGGCTCTTCCCCCTGCCCGTGGGCATGAGCACAAACACGTCTCTGCCGCTCATAGTGGCATTCATCACCTCCCTCTGATTCGCATGTTACCACCAACTCACCTTACTTCACCCCACCTCTCACCTGGTAAGTGAGGCTCTTCCCCCCGCCCGTGGGCATGAGCACGAACACGTCTCTGCCGCTCATAGTGGCATTCATCACCTCCCTCTGATTCGCCCGGAACGACCGGTTGCCAAAGAGCTTCCAGTTGTTCTCCTGAGGGGTGTGGGTGCGCGGGGGTGGAGAGAAGAAGGGGATAGAGAGAAAGATTGGAGAGGAGAGAAACGAGAGATACAAAAGGGAGGAAAAGAGGAGAGCGAGCGAAGCGAGGAGAGGGGTAACAGAGCAACGGGGAGAGAGAGGGGACTTGTGAATTGCCCAGAGACTGATCCAGTGCCGGTGTGCCAATCCATCCCTTGCGACTTCTGCACCTCACTACCACAACGCCTCTCACCTCCAGCTCTCGCGTCCATGCGTAGTCCTTGCGAGCCCACTGCCGATCCGCCGACCCTTCACTGAACCGCACCTCTGACAGACACACCGGCACCACCTCCCCTCTCCTCGCCGCCCCGCCATTCTCACCCCCTCCCCCTCCCCCTCCCCCTCCCCCTCCCCCTCCCCCTCCCCCTCCCCCTCCCCCTCCCCCTCCCCCTCCCCCTGGAGGGGATGTGAACCCCCCTCCTACTCCTCCTCCTCCTCCTCCTGCATACCCTGCTCCCCCATACCCTCCCCCATTCACTGCTCCGTATCCTCCTCCATTCGTCGCCCCGTTCACAGCTGCATACCCTCTGGTTATTGCACCTGCCACATGCATGCCTGCTGCTGTTCCCACGCCCGCTGCTGCCCCCATGACTGCTGCTTGCCCAGTACCCAGAGCGGAGGAGGGAGGAGGGGGGCGGGAGGAAGGAGGAGGCGACGACCAGGTGCTTCTGGGAGGTGTGCTCCAGGCAGTGGTGGAAGGCGTGGGACGAGAGCCAGGCGTGGTGAAGGACGGGGTGGCAGGTCGGTACGGATGGGTGGAGGGTGGTGATGATGTGTGCATGGCAGGTGATGGGGAGGAGAGGTGAGGGGAGGTGGTTGCGCCTTGCTGTGAGTGCTGCTGCAGGATTTGTATCTCTTGCTGTAGCGACTTTCTGAAAGGTTGCGGGGGGTTGTTCAGGGAAGGGGAAGAGAGGGGAGGTGCGGGACAGGAGGTTGAGAGCGGAAGGCGCCAGGGTCGACAGGCGACGAGGGACGTTGTGAAGCAGTAACCAGGACATTCCTCAACAGAAGCTCATACCACTGACAGAGCATTTTTTCTTCTCTCTTTACAACCGAGCTTACCCTACCTGAGCGCTTTACCGCCTACTTTAGAGAATCCCCATCGTCCCTGTCGATTTCAGCACACTACCTGCACATACTCGCTCTCCCCTCGACCTTCACAATCTCCCCACTACCAGCTCACTCACCCCATTATCAAATCACTTTCCCCTCCCTCCCCTCCCCTCACTACCTGCGCAGTCGGAGCTCTTCTGCCCGCCGGGGGCTCATGTCCCCCGCGTTGTCCAGCAGGTCGTTGGACACGTCTAGCAGCTCGTTCTTGCGCTCCTGTATGTGTGCTTGTAGCGAGGGGCACTGCACCAGCTGTATGGACCGGGGAGGATGGATGAGGAGTACAGAAGGAAAACATTGGGGGTGCGAAGACTGTTAGACACGTCTAGCAGCTCGTTCTTGCGCTCCTGGATGTGTGCTTGTAGCGAGGGGCACTGCACCAGCTGCACGCATGCGGGGAGCGTGAGGGATCATGGGGTGAAACAATGTTGTGAGAAGCTGGAGGGGGCGTGACGCCAGGCACATGGCATGTGAAGGCATGGAGAGACGAAGGCAGTGGTGCACAGAAACAGCATGCATGACATGGCATGGCAGGCGTTGCATGGCAGGACATGGCGTGCATAGCATCACGTGGCACGATTTGCACTGGATGCAAAAATAGCACACGATCAGTGACCCAATGAATAAAACTCACAGACCTGCTACATCGAAAGGGGTGACCTGCTACTCACCCATTAAGAAATTTCAGCAACACTCACAGGCATGCCATGGGAGCATGGTTGCTGCAGCAGCGGAGGGAGAGGTGGAGGATTGTTCCAATTAGTTGCTGCATGCCCGTAGCTGTTAAGATTCTGCCGCTGGCCTTGTGTTGCTACACCCTGGTGTTGCTGCTTGTCTGGTGAAATATTTCCTTGCCGTGCCTTGTCCTTGTCCGGTGTGCTGCTGTGCTGCTGCTGTTGGGTTGACTGCCTCACCAGCTCATCCACGTCTATGTCCTGTTAGCCCCACACACGCGCACATGCATATGCACAGATATACATGCAACCACGAATGCGGGCATGCGCACGCATGTGCGCACGAGCACGTGCGCACCCTCACACACACACACACACACACACACACACACGCACACACAGACACACACACACGCACACACACAGACACACACGCGCGCACACACACACACACACACATGCACGTGCACGTGCATGAGCTCACACACCATATCATAGCTACCACCGTGAACTAGAACACCTCATGTATAAAGTGCATTGGCGTCTCAGATTCCGCTCTATATCCACACGGGAGCACGAGCCACAGGAGCACGAGCGTACTGCCAGCATCACCCACCTGGAACAGCTCATCATCGTCAAACAGACTCCCATTCTCCTGCCGAGGCTGCTGCTGCTGCTGCTGCTGCTGATGCTGGGCCTGCAGCTGAGGCTCGGCCGAACCTGTCGGTCTGGGCCTGTCTGAGCCCAAGCCAACATCTGCCACCCCATGAGACAAACCTGGACTTATCCCAATTTCACCAGCAGCCCCTCTAAATCCTCCTCCTCCCCCTCCCCATCCCCCCATTCCTCCTCCTCCTCCTCCTCCTCCTCCTCCTCCTCCTCCTCCTCCTCCTCCTCCTCCTCCCCCTCCTCCGCCCCCATCAGCGAAAGATAAGTTACTTCTTGGGTCAGAAATCGAAGGCGAGGGATGCGAAACAAATGAACGGCTTGGGAAGGAGGGAGAGGGAGCAGGTGGTGTGTGCGAAGGGTGCGTTGGCCTTACAGGGGCCGTGGTACCGGGCTTGCAAACGATGGGAGCAGGTGTTTTACTGGTGGTGCTCAGGGACGCGATGGCCTGGTGGGAGGGGTGACGAAAGAGCAGGTGTGGTGAAAGTCATTGTGGAGGTCGAAAAATCAATCACGTCAAACTGGATGACCCGGTATGACTCAGGTACTCTCATGGAATGGTAAGTGTAAAGAAGGGGAACATGGAGTGCAATCAGCCTGCTATTATGTGAGGAAACTCATAGCGAGATCACGTATTATGTGTGGAAACTCTCCAGCAACAACGTGGGTTAAAAGACTAGACCGAGAGAAGCTATGGGAAAGTTGCAGTGGACCCACTATAGTCGGCAATTTTTACATGCCGGTGCGTCCCAGCATACGTGTTCATCCTACCTGCTCTGCCATTCTGAGGAGCTGGCTGTTAAGTGGAGCGAAGGAGAAAGAGCCACGATCTCTGTACGCCAAAGAAATGGTGGGTGAGTGGGAAAAGGACGGGTGGAAGGGTCAGGTGGTGTGGATTCCAAGTCAGTAAGAAGATTAACTGACGACGATGCATGTTTGACGACCCTGGGATTGGCTAAGTTTGTGCACTGCGGTTGAAAAAAAAACACACATCTTCTCTCGTTCTTCGTGGTGGCACGCGCTACTAGTACGCGCCAATAAGGAATCAGACGCACCGATCATTTTCAGCCAATCGCATTCGGCTGGGAGCAGTGGAAAATACGAAGTTCTCCTTCAGTCCATTCCCCGTCGCACAGGATTGCCGCAACCATGGCTGATGCTGCTGCCAATTGTGGCGAGGAACGGACGTCGCTCCTCCTCCTCCATTTGCTGCTAAACCTGACCCTCTTCCGCTCCCTGGCCCAGTCAGTGAGCTTCTTTGGAAATGATTACGACTCCCGTCGTCACCCCCATTGTTCATGTTGATTAATCGTTAAAAGAGATTCCGGAACAAGGAGTCATAGAGTTTGCTGACGACAAAATGTCATGCGAATGCCTAATCCCCTGCGCCACGACTCTGAACGACACCCAGCCATTCTCCAGTCATCCAATCTCCGGATAGCTTAACACGTTTTAAAGCGCACCGATAATCATTGGTCTAATAGTAGACCGAGTAATATGCTGGAGTTCAGTTGACTGTGCCTGATGACTTGCGGGTTGAAGGTGTTTGGCTACAAACTTCAAAATGGAAGTTCGGTGGTGGCTTTTCACGAATCACTCATGACAGGCTTGAGTTGAGGAGACGCTACCTAGATATTCCCGTCTCTCGCGCGAGACGAACACTTCCGCGAGCTGACAAAAAATCATAGATATTGACGACAGAATTTAGAGTTTTGAATTTGTTGGCGAAATGTTTCAGGTGTTACAAGCGGGAAAGCGCACTCGAAAACTGTTCTGCAACAGATTGTCGCCGACAGTTCGCCAAGGTGCAGTACAACTGAAGTAACTACGGCATGCGAACCGAAGTGACTCGTCAGGCTGACGCTCAGCAGTCAACAATATCACGTGGGAGACTGGGTGTTCCGTTTGTAGAGCGGTCAAATGCATACATCCGATTTCTGCAATCATCCTCTTACAACAGAACAACTGAAACGGCTACAATATGGTATTCATTCGTGCAATACATTATTTCTCAAGAGTTGTTGGTACATAATTTTCTGAAGGGGTGATCTGAAGGCCAACCCTTCTAGCTGTATCACGGAGCCTATCTTTGAGCTCAGCTTCCCTGTCAATGTCTATGTTGTACGAGTGCAGCAGACTCTGCATGAACACAGCAACGAAATCGGGAGGTTGGGGATGTGGGGTGGTAAGGAGGCAACAAAATCTAAAGTGCTAAACGCATCCAAGGGGCTGAAATGGCGCAGCTCAGCTGCAACGTAGCAGTGTAATAATCATGCAGGGACAACGAGCACGACACGGTTGAGATGTGCATGAACAGATCTCATGGTAAAAACGGCTTGGAGACCCGAGAGGCCATGATCAACGCAGCAATGACCAGCCGTGCTAATTTTGGGCGAAACCAGACGACGAAGATACCTACTAGCTAACGTGCTCCATTGCCCTAACACCGAAGGACATCCGCAGGATTAGCAGCGGTAATATGAATACGCCAGCATGAAAGGCGGGGAATACAGAAGCGCAAATACACAAGTACCGTATACCTGTTGGACTACTCATGATCCTTCTATTAGGACAATGTCCGTTAGAAAGCCTGGGTGTTCTCACCTTGTGCGAGTGGATTGCGTCTACTAGATCCGCCCAGTCTTTCAGCAGCAGAATACGGCTAGCCCTGTCATTAGTCCTGTCGGCTCCCGCCACGTCAGCACCGCCAATCGCATCAGCCTCTCTAGCTCGGTCGGTTGCTAATGGCTCCCTAGCAGCGCTGCCGACAGCAAGATCTGCAGTGGTCGATGGGTCTGTACGAACCATTTCGCGAATGGCGTCGCGAGCAAAGAGGTTACCTGCGACGGCAGTAATGTGGCGATCGGCGATCCGAAGAGCGTGGCGATAAACGCGAAGGACATCGGAACGAGAGGCCATGATGGCGACGCTTTGGGGACGAAGCTAATCACGTAGCTTAGTGCCGTGTTCCACGCACTAAGTCTGGTAAAGCTTCAAGGATAAGCTCGAGAGTGTATGCAGGGGTTGAAGTTTTATAACGAATCGTGAAGGCATACAGAGTGCAAAGAGGTTGAAGCATGATAGAACCTAAAGAGAATTGTACAGTCCAGGAGTTTTTACTTATGTCCCCTCATTCCATATCTCATGTTTTAGAATGAGCAGTCACTCAGTGGAAAATAGTAACTTGCATTTTGTGAAAGCGCGGCTTGGAATGTGCTCAATTTATGGCGTATTACATTTGGTCTACAGTCTTGTGTGGATTGGATGAGAATCAAGTCCAGGGCCTATGATATCAGAATGAGAAACCCTAATTATCCCGATTTCAGGATGATGCTACCTCCACTTCCCTGAAACTTCTGGACGTTTGCAGTAAAAGCCCTGTAATTTCAGGATAAATGTATTATATCACCCTGAGATTTTATAGTATTCTACACCCCCCTGCCCTGATGGCTAAGTGCGTGTTCCTACGGCCTCATATCAGGCCAACCTCATATCAGACTCGCACAAAACACTTCAATCTCGGCTTCATTCGATTGTTTATTGGTTGTTTCCTGGTTTGACGCGCGACAAAAGAACGAAGGGCAATTTTCGCATCCCTGAACCCGACAATCAAGAATCTTTCGTTTGAATCACGCGACAAAGATTGCACAGTGCGTGCAGTGTATCGGCCATACGGATCGCCCTAATGTCCGACAACACGGAACTGCGTTTCGCGTAGTACAGTGTGTCAGCCACACGAATCCCTGGACATGATTTGCTGATGTGGATTGTCTGAAAGGTTTCATGCGCACATTTTTTTCTCGGGCAATGCAAGTCCTAAAGTTGGGATTTATAATGAATATCTCGAGTTTTTCCAATCCTTATACGAGGTTGGCTTGATATGAGGCCGTAGGAACACGCTCAAAGAGTGTTTATTCTCGACAACATGATACTGTCACTGAGGAGATAAACTCTACAACGGTGGGAGCTAGACTACGGGGTAGGCACGGGTTCTCAGAGTGATCGTAGCTCTGTCTGTGTTCTCTAGCACTTGTGCGTTCACTGGGCAAAACAGCAAGAGTTTCACTATGAAAGTTGAGAATACTGAGTTCAGAATGAACAAGCAATGGAAAAGATTGATTACATCACATGCAAGGTTTGCTAGTGCACAGGCAGATCGACCGCCAGCACGACAAAGTCGTCGACCTGCCAACGTAGCAAGTCTGCGGCCCGCCAACGCAGCTCGTGCACGGCTTGCCAACGCTGCAGAATGGCGGCCTGCCAACGATGCACCCGCGCGGCTTGCCAACACAGCACCCGCGCGGCTTGCGAACGTTGCATCCGCAGGTGATTGTAAGCGCATGTGCAAGCACCTACTTCGCAGGTGCTTGTAGACGGTTACGCACGACGTGCACTGTCGCACACATTGCGCAGGTGCCAGGTTGGCCACATGCAAACAGTTGCACCTGATGAGCCACGTCGACCACGTGCTGCCACGTCGGTCGACTTCGCCACAGCAGCCTCGACGACGGTCGCGCACCTCCGCAGAACCTCTTCGAGCAGGTAACCCTGCAGGTCGACGACCTTCGTCGTCGCGGGTCGACGACCTTCGTCGTCGCGGGTCGACGACCTCCGTCGACCACCTTCGTCGACCACCTCGGTCGACATTTCGAAATTCCAGCTCCTCATTGGTCAAAATTAGGGCACATTCGATTTTCTAGCCAAAATTCGCCAGTGCATTCGCGAGGGTGCGCAGGGTCAGACGCGACCCTGCGCAGATGAACACCCGCGAACCTCTGCACCAATTGCGCCAGGGTCGAGAGGCAGGGGTGGTGAAGGATGGGGCGGAGGGACGGTAGGGATGGGTGGAGGGTGGTGAGGAGTGGTTGAAGTGCGGTGATGGTGTGTGCATGGCAGGTGATGGTGAGGAGAGGTGGGGGGAGGTGGTTGCGCCTTGCTGTGAGTGCGGCTGCAGGGTTTGTAATTCTTGCTGAAGCGACTTTCTGAAAGGGTGTGGGGGGGTGTTGGGGTGGGGAGGAGGGGGAGGGGAGGGGGAGGGTGGGACAGAAGTTTATTTTGGAGAGTGTGAGGGCGCAAGGCCGAGGGGTGAGATTGAGTGATGCAGGACACACAGAAGAGGAACACGGGAGGTTTTTGGAGGAGTTAGGAACCTGAGGTGCAGATTCAGGAAGGAGGAGAGACGAAGGGGCCCAGGGACGGTAGAAGGGAGGGAACTTTGCGACAGCAGTAACCAATGCTTCTCTCAACAGCAGCACATACCACAGAGCATTACATCGTCTCACTTTACAACCAAGTTCACCCGTACTGAGCGCCTCACTGCCTACTCCAGACAATACCACCTACATCCCTAATTTTTCTTCGCACATGCGCACTCTCCTCACTACCTGCCCACTCTTTCCACTACCAACACATTCCCTCCTGTATCCCATTCTCTCCCCAAGTCCAATACCTGAGCTCTTCTGCCTGCCTGGGGCTCATGTTGCCCGCATTGGGATTTGTGTCGTTTAGGCGCCTCAGAGCTCGTCTTTTGAGGCGCCTCAAAAGCTCCCCCCACAACCAACACCCCCCCCCACACCTGCGCAGTCGCAGCTCTTCTGCCCGCCGGGGGCTCATGTCTCCCGCGTTGTCCAGCAGGTCGTTAGACACGTCTAGCAGCTCGTTCTTGCGCTCCTGGATGTGCGGAGAGGAGCATTCCCCACCCCAGTACCAGCACAGCACACACCCACCACCTGCTCGTTCTTCCCACAACCAGCACTCCCTCTCACTACCTGCGCAGCCGGAGCTCTTCTGCTCGCCGGGGGCTCATGTCTCCCGCATTGTCCAGCAGGTCGTTGGACACGTCTAGCAGCTCGTTCTTGCGCTCCTGTATGTGTGCTTGTAGCGAGGGACACTGCACCAGCTGCATGCATGCGGGGAATGGGAGGAGCATGGGGGGAAATGGGGGAATGCAAGACGACTTGTAAGATGCCTCAAGGTCGTTGGACACGTCTAGCAGCTCGTTCTTGCGCTCCTGAATGTGCGGCTGCAGTGAAAGGCACTGCGCCAGCTGTATGTACCGGGGAGGAGAGTGAGGTGATCATGGGAAGAAACAATGTTGTGAGAAGATGCAGGAAGCGTGACACCAAGCACATGGTATGTGATGGCATGGAATGCCAAGGCAGAGCTGGACAGACACAGCATGGATGACATGGCATGGTCGGAATTGCATGGCAGGGCATGGCGTGCATAGCATAGCATAGCATGACGTGGCACGATTTGCACTGCAAGTCTCAGGCAATAGCAGAGAACCAGTGACCCGACCCAGTGAGTGGCAACCACAGACCTGCTACATAGAATTGGAGTCACTCTTGAGAAATTTCAGAGACACTCACAGGCATGCCATGGGAGCATGGTTGCTGCAGCAGTGGAGGGAGAGGCGGAGGAGTGTTCCAGTTAGTTGCTGCATGCCCGTAGCTGTTACGATTCTGCCGCTGGCTTTCCGGTGCAACACCCTGATGCTGCTGCTGCCTGTCCGGTGGAATATTCCCTTGCTGCGCATTGTCCTTGTCTGGTGTGCCGCTGTGCTGCTGCTGTTGGGTTGACTGCCTCACCAGCTCGTCCACGTCAATGTCCTGTTGGACCACACACACATGCACGCACATATACGCACAGATACGCATGAAGGCATACACGCGAATGTGCGCGAGCGCACGCACGCCACACACACACACACACACACACACACACACACACACACACACACACACACACACACACACACACACACACATGCACATGCATGAGCATACAACAGTATATCAGAACTACCACCGTGCACTTGTAACACCTCATGTACAAAGAGCATTGGCGTCTCAAAATCTGCTGTATACACTCAGGAGCACGTTCATACTACGACAGGCACACGTGCCTACTGCCAGCATCACCCACCTGGAATAGCTCATCATCATCGAAGATACTCCCACCCTCCTGCCGAGGCTGCTGCTGCTGACCCTGGAGCTGAGGCTCGGCCGAACCTGCCGGCCTGGGCCTGTCTGAGCCCAAGCCAACATCTGCCACTCCATGAGACAAACCTTGTCTTATACCAGATTCACCAACACCCCCTCTAAATCCTCCTCCTCCTCCTCCCCATCCCCCCATTCCTCCTCCTCCTCCTCCTCCTCCTCCTCCTCCTCCTCCTCCTCCTCCTCCTCCTCCTCCTCCTCCTCTTCCTCCTCCTCCTCCTCCTCCCCCTCCTCCGCCCCCATCAGCGAAAGATAAGTTACTTCTTGGGTCAGAAATCGAAGGCGAGGGATGCGAAACAAATGAACGGCTTGGGACGGAGGGAGAGGGAGCAGGTGGTGTGTGCGCAGGGTGCGTTGGCCTTACAGGGGCCGTGGTACCGGGCTTGCAAACGATGGGAGCAGGTGTTTTGCTGGTAGTGCTCAGGGACGCGATGGCCTGGTGGGAGGGGTGACGAAAGAGCAGGTGTGGTGAAAGACATTGTGGAGGTCGAAAAATCAATCACGTCAAACTGGATGACCTTGTATGAGTCAGTACTCTCGTGGAATGGTAAGTGTAAAGAAGGGGAACATGGAGTGCTATCAGCCTACTATGCTCTCCAGAAATAGCGAGATCACGTATTATGTGTGAAACTCTCCAGCAACACGTGGGTTAAAAGACTAGACCGAGAGAAGCTATGGGAAAGTTGCAGTGGACCCACTACAGTCAGCAATTTAAACATGCCTGTGCGTCCCAGCATACGTGTTCATCCTACCTGCTCTGCCATTCTGAGGAGCTGGCTGTTAAGTGGAGCAAAGGAGAAAGAGCCACGATCTCTGTACGCCAGAGAAATGGTGGGTGAGTGGGAAAAGGACGGGTGGAAGGGTCAGGTGGTGTGGATTCCAAGTCAGTAAGAAGATTAACTGACGACGATGCATGTTTGACGACCCTGGGATTGGCTAAGTTCGTGCACTGCGATACAAAAAAGCGTACTCATCTTCTCTCATTCGTCGCGGTGGCACGCGCTACTAATATTCGCCAATAGGGAATCAGACGCACCTATCATTTTCAGCCAATCGCATTCGGCTGGGAGCAGTGGAAAATACGAAGTTTTCCCTCAACCCATTTCCCGTCGCACAGGATTGCCGCAACCATGGCTGGTGCTGCTGCCAGTTGTGGCGAGGCAAGGCCGTCGCTCCTCCTCCTCCATTTGCTGCGAACCCTGACCCTCTTCCGTTCCCTGACCCTCGCCCTGAACCAGTCAGTGAGCTTCTTTGGAAATGTTCACGACTTCCATCATCACCCCCATTGTTCATGCTGATTTATCGCTACGAGAAAGCCGGAACAAGGAGTCATAGAGTTGCCTGACAACGGAATGTCACGGGGATGCCTGATCCCCTGCGCCACGACATCCGATTCGACTCTGAACGAGAGCCAGCCATTCTCTACGAATCCAACTCCTCAAATAACGGACCGCGTCCTAAAGATCATCGAGAGAACATTAGCTTGGACCGAATAAGATGGTCGGCTTCCGTCGACTGTGCCTGCTATTTGGGGAGTCGAAGCTGCACACTAGGCTGAGAGAAGCTTTTCAAGGCAGGGTTGGACGGACATCCCCTCGATATTGCCGTTTTCACAAGGCGATCATTTGTGGGGGGTGACAAAGAAGCACAGATTTTGACGACCGTGATCCAAAGTTTCAAATTTGGAGGCGAAAACTTTCAGCTGTTACCAGCGGCTGCGCAAGAACGAAAGGTGTTCCGCGGCAAGCTATCGTAGTTCTCTTGAGGGGTGATTTGAAGACCAACCCTTCTAGCTGTATCACGGAGCCTATCCTTGAGCTCGGCTTCCCTGTCGATGTCTATGTTGTACGAGTGCAACAGACTCTGCATGAAAACAGCAACGAAATCGGGAGGTAGGGCATGCGGGGTGATAAGGAGGCAAGAAAACCAAAGGTGTTATGCATTTAAGAGGCTGAAAAGGCGCAGCATAGCTGTACCCTGCCATTGTAATAGAACATACACTACAAAGAGCAAGATAGGGTTGAGATGTGCAGTAATCAAATGGTAAAACTGGAGACTAGAGAGACCATGATCAACGCAGCAATAGCCAGCCGTGCAATTCCAGACGTAGCCAGATGATGGAAGGTGTCTACAAGGTGCTCATTATCCCTATCAAGAAAGGACATGTGAGAGGATTGCACTGGCGCTTGTATGACTACGCAAGAAGAGAATGTACACCTGTTAGACTGGTCATATCCTACTATTACTAAAATGCTCCTTACCGAGTCGGGTATTCTCACCTTGTGCGAATGGATAGCGTCGACTAGATCCGCCCAGTCCTTCAGCAGAAGAATATGACTAGCCGTGTCAACTCCTGCCACGTCAGCACCGCCATTCGCGGCAGCACCTCTAGCATGGTTCGATGGTAACGGGTCCCTGGCAGCCCCGTCAGCCAGATCTGCAGTGGTCGCTGGGTCTGCGCGAACCATTTTGCGAATAGCATCGCGAGCAAAGTGGTTCCCGGCGACAGCAGTGACGTGGCGATCGGCGATGCGAAGAGCGTGGCGATAAACGCGAAGGACGTTGGAACGAGACGCCATGCTGGCGACGCTCTGGGGACAAAGCCAGTCACGTAGCTCGATTACTTTCTATGCACACAAATCCGGCTAAGCCTCAGGGATAAGCTAAGCCGAACGGATAAGCTCGAGGGAGTAGTGGGAAACATGGAGTAACCTCAAAGGTGTACACAAGATGTCCGTTACAGACCCACAAGGTTATTCGTCATCTTGGGTGTAAAGTGAGCATAATCATTTCGCCTGCCTCGCCATCATTCGCCACGTAGTAGGCACGTGAAGAAATGCTACCAACATCTTCAAATTATCTTACAAACGGACGGATGACAGCGTGATAAGTTGTTTGTTCAACGGCTACGATGAAACAATGGGCTTGTACCGTCGGTGCAACTGGCTGGTATTGTTAACGGGAATGGAGTGTTGGCCCCGCCCTCGCTTGGGCAACGCCGACGACTTGGTCGGATGTACGGGAGAAGCAGCCGAACGTTCACAGTGAGGGAGCTGCTCGACGGGCTTCGTCGAGCTGCAAGGAATCACTGTGGTGTTGCCGTCGACCAGGGAGCTCGACGGCCTTCTTCTGCGGGGCAGGACGACGAAGTGGTCGTCGACCTGCACAGGTCTATCACGGGGCTGGGGCCGTCGACCAGGGAGCTCGACAGCTGCAGCTGACTGGGCTGGTCGACGGGTGGGTCGTCGACCAGGAGGAGCAGTTCGACGTGGAGGTCGACGGAGCAGTCCGTCGACCTGACATGTGTGCGGCAGTCGACGAGGGGAGCTCGGCGACAGCAGCCGACAGTGCTGGTCGACGGAGGGGTCCGTCGACCAGGGTGTTGCTCGACGGAAGCTGTGGTCGACGAGGGAGTCGTCGACCGGAGCACTGGGTGGTCGACGTGCACGTACAACTTTCGGTCGACTTTCCCCGAGGAAGTCGACGCCGACCTGGTGGTATCCGGGTCGACCAAGTCACCTGGGTGACGAGGTTCTGCGGAGGCACGCGAACGTCGTCGAGGTCGCAGTGACGAAGGCGACTTCGGGCTGGTATCCTGAAATCGATGTGGCTCGTCAGGCGCAGATAACAGGCGACGGATGCACAACGATGCAAGTAGGCCCAATCGTCTGCAAGCACCTGCCTACGTACGCACTGCTGTCTTCTACGGGTGCAACGCTGGGCAGCCGCTTTAGTGCAGCGTTGGCATGCCGTCGACCTGCTGCGTTGGCAGGTCGTCTTTCTGCAGTGCTGGCGCGGCTCCTCTACGCAACGCTGGCAGGCGGTCCACCATGCAGTGCTGGCGGTCGACCAGGCTAGTTGCAGAGTTGCTAGGTGTTTGATGTAGTCATTTCTGTCATTGCTTGTTTAATCATTCTGTAATGCAATCTTTGCCTAGTGAAACTCTTGCCGATTTCTCCCGTGAATGTGCAAGCGCTAAGGAACTAAGCAAAGCTACGATCACTCCTAGAAGTTCGTGCCAACACCCCGCAGTCTAGCTCACGACTGTTGTAGAGTGACTCTCCGCAGGTACCAAATGCAATTGGGCAGGCTTTCGAAATTAGGTAGACCAAATTTGTGTGTACTAGGAACGACACACATAATTTGGATTATCTTGTCGTTTTGCAGTTACTCAGTGCCGCCGAGGATCTCTTGCGTGCTCTGGAGTGAGTTCCGTTTAAAATTGTGTGTGAATAGAGCTGAGCATTTAGGTGGACCCTTACATCTGGTTATATGGCACTATCTTAAAGCCAGTAGCTAAAATAGTGAAGGCAGATCCAACTGAAAGAGTGATGGAAAGAGTTTCTAAAAAAGGAGGAGTTAGAAAACGATAGAGCACTGTTTCAAACAACTCATGTGGTTTGATTGAACTGATGTGATTGGCTCTCGCCAAAAACGTTATATGGCTCATGTAAGTCGCCGCATGTCTACGTGCTCCACCCGCACGACCGTCGCAAAGCGAGGGTCTCAGTCACCAGGCCCTGGAGCTATGAACCCTAAACGTCGTCATATAATGTGAATCTGAGCCTACACCAATCTAGTGGTGTATGTCCATTTATAGGACGTGTCAC